TTATCGCAGAGCATTTGTTGTTTATTGGCCACAGAGATATTATTTTCATGAAGGTGACAATAAGAGAATGAAGTTGATTGTTTATTCTCATTTTAATGTCAAACCATACTTTTAATTTTCATTCATTGTAACCAATTTCACGAATTCTAACCAGTTTGATTTTTATTTTATCAATAAACATACTGTGATCTAATAGGACGTCTGCTACTAGGAAAATACCATAACATAATAGCAAATAAAATGCTTTCTTCGGTGCCTTTTTCAGAAATCCAATTTTATAGACTTTGGATGGAATCCAATATTGGTAATTTTTTTTTTTATTTTTCTTCTTAGCAAAATTGTAACAGACGGTTATACATTTTTCATTTTTATAGCTCCAAGCCTATATATGGTCATATCTTACAAAACTGACGCTATTTGTGGCCGCCTACTTAAGAACAGATGCTCACTTTCACACTCATTATTAAAATGTTAATTATCAGTTGCCTGGTGAATATCACTTGAAGGGATAATGTGCACTTAATTGTTAGAGCTGTTACTGTTGCTAATGCTGGAATGTTACTTGGAAAAAAACAAACTTTCAGCACTTATGGAATGTGACTTACTAACCGACCGCCACTCATCGAGTAAGAAAAATATAAATATTTTTTCAGTAGCCTTTGAAGTTAAAAAAATTTTATGTTCTATAAAGCTGTACACGTCCAATTTTCGTTAAATTTTAAGAATTTCTTATTGTGTGATCTGTGATATAGTATGATCTGTGACATAGCAGTAAATGTGACTTTAATTGCAATATCAAGTTATGGCAATGAAATGCATGCATATTTATACATACATGTAAGAATAGATAAGTGATTAGTAGTATAGAAGAGAGAGAATTCTAAAATTATATTGAATTCTTCAAAATTAATTTACTAAGTATGATCTAGTATAGGTATAATTTGTGTAATTTAGAGTACTCTTCCCACCTAGACAAATTTTCGATTATATGCGTGTAGACTGTAGAGCTTTTCTCATAAATTCAAATTCGCCTATACACACATAAACATTCAAATAATTTTTGTGCTCTAATTGATTTTTGTACTTTTAATAAAATGCATAAAATATTTTTTTTCTCTCTGCTTTTTTTTGCTTAAAAAATAAATTGCTGCTCTTTAATATTTTAAATGTTTAGCCATTGTATTTTTTTTTTTAATTTTTTTTCCAAAACCAACCACCCTCATTTTAATTTTAATGCCTACTTAACGTATATAAAATTGAGTACATGTGTATAGTTTCTCGGAACTAAAAATATAAAGAGAAGAATGTTTATTCATTTTAGTGTTTTTTAATTTTTTTTTTATATAAATAAATTGCATACACACGCATACATATACATACATAATTATTTTATAAATATTATTCTGAATTTATTCACTTGTAATTTAATTTAATTTTTTTTTTTCATTTTTTTTTTATTATTTTGTCTATTTTCTTTTTAATGCCTTATAGCGAATTTCTGGTTGGCTGATTTGTTTAAAAAAATTATTCAATGACTGCGCTTTTATAATATTTTTTTTGTTTTTTTACCTTTAAGCAATATTATTTTTTCGCGTGAAAACATCATTTTCAAAAAAAAAAAAAAATTTTAATTTTTTTTAATTTTTTATTAAATTTTATTTTAAAAATTAAAAAAAAATTATTTTTTTTTTTGTTGTTGTTAAAGAGTTTGTATAATCAAAAATAATGAAAATGATCTTTTGATTAATTTTATTAGTGTTAAACGTTCAAAAACGCTGATATTAAAATAAACGAGTAGAGTTGGCCGTGTCAACTCTATGATACCCGTACAAATGAATGATTAGTATGTGCTCTGTATTAATTATACCACGTAATCCTGATTTTTTATTCGTTTGTTCTAAATTTCCGCAATGTTAATCTCAATAGTTTTATTGCAGCTACCATCGCCAGTTTAGAAATTCACAGTTTAGAAAAACATCGTCAAGTCTCGAAATTTTGATACCAGTTTTATTAAATATTAGAGCCCTATAATAAAATATTTGCTTATGCGAAATTTCAGTACTATATAGGCTCTATAATATCTGAGATCAAGCGAAAATAATTTTAAAAGTTGTACATGGCAGGTATCATAAGCGGTCATGATATCTTAATAGTTTTTACAAAAAATAATGGTCATTTTACCATTATTAGTTTTTGCAAAATTTCAGTATTGTATTTTCAAAAATTTCCAAATTATAACTAAGTGATAATAGTAGTTATATGGCAGCTGTACCATAAGGAGTCGAGGAATTTCAACGATTTTTATTCCACATGACAACCCAAAAATTATAATTGCTTATGCGAAGTTTTGATATTATTTAGCTTCAATATTTTCTGAGATATAACAGAATAGCTTTTGTTGTAGGGCAGATAACCGAACCACTGCTTCTATTACACCCAATTTAAATTTCAATCATTTGTGAAAATTTGGTGAGTTTAACTCAATTTGTTTTTGAGTTATCGTTAGGATGGACGGACGAACAAACGGATAGACAAGCTTAAATCGAATCAGAATTCGACGCTGATCAAAAACATATACTTGAGTCTATACCTCAAATCATTATTTCTTAACGTTACAAATGGTAAGGCAAAAATTTAATATACCCTTCGAACATACGTTCATACGAGAATAAAAATTAAAGTTTATAAATATAAGTATGTATGTAGGTGTGTTTATCAGATTATAATTATGTTGGTATGTAAAATTAATTAATAATATTTACATATATTTACATTATGATATTAATAAGTTAAACAGAAAATTTTGTATATTTGTAAGATAACGAGATTTTTAATTTTTTTCTAATAAAAATTAGAAAATTTTTAATATTTTTTAATTAGTTTTTTTTTCTTTTACAACAGACCTTTCCTTTAAAGAGATTATAATATTTAATAATTAACTAAATAAATTAATAATTTAAAACACAAAATATTAGAGAAAATAATTTAGTAGCTGCATAAGAGAAATAAATTGCCTAACTAGTAGAATTAATACACTAAGGTCGGAAGTAATTAAAGATTAAAGATTTTGAGTGAAACACATGCTTATATACGAGCACACTGTCACATATTATTGTATAAAGTCTCATGATTACACAAAACTTTTATATATCCAGACAATTTTCACGGTTCAACAGATTTCTCGTATTATTCCGTTCCTGTCTTTTATAATCTTATAGTTATGAAGATTTCTGTGCCAATTATTAAATATGATCTGAAAATCTCAGAGCAAAGAATTTCTCATGAATGTCCACATTATTTATAATCTCTTAATTCAGATTTGGAACCACATACCCTTTCAAAATCAAAAAATTTTAATTTCTGAAATTTTCATTAATTAAAAATATTTTAATTTTTTAGGTGACATAACTATGCAGCTTTCCTGAGTTTAAGCACAGATGGCAAGATGGGAGTCATTTTCTTAGCTGTTCTGCTTTAGAAGTTATTGAAAAAAATTAAGTAGTACAAGTGTAATTTTATTTTTAGGCACGTCTTTCTCATTTTGTTTTTGTCATAAATTAAATTGAATAACTTATGGAATATGAATGGAATTTTCACATTAATTCTAAATCACGCTGCCTATAAGATAGGAAATCATTCGCAAAAATTTATGTGTGTAATTTTTTGATTCTGTGGTTACGAGTAAAAAGCTCGGCCAAAGCTCTACTTTAGTATGTAGAGTTTATAACTTCTTATTATTCTACTCTTCGATATGTTGAAGCCTTCTTTGAATTTTTTACAAAACAATCGAAAAATTAGATGCCATCTAATACTCTTAAAATCAAATTTAATTTTCCAAACCTATAATATCTAACAACCTTATTCAATATTGTCTACAATTGCAAATTTCCTACAACTAAAGCCTACAATTAAATAATAAAGGTATAGATAAGAAATTTAAGATTTCTAACCATGTAGAATGCGAAATTAATCATAAACCAATTAACAATAAATCTGTTAGCAAGCTTGTAACTGCACTGACAAAAAGCACAAAAAAAAAATCTTTTACCCTCTTGGTTTTCTGTTTAAATTTTTTGAAGCCAATCTCAATTAATAATTTTTATGCACTTATTATTTCTTTTTTTTTATTGCAGTTTAATAAAATGAATTTCCGGTTTGAAAAAATTTATGACCCAAATACCGAAGATCCGCTTTTCCTGATGCAAGAAATTTTTTTTTTCACTTTGTTTTATTTTCTTTTTTAAATTGTATGTATAGGTAATGTTGTTAAATACATAAAAACAAATTATTTAATTAAACAAACTAGAAATAAATAAAAATATTTTAAAACAATGAAAATAGAGAAATGTGCTGGTAGCAAAATGAGCATACGAGCGCGAACAGTAAGTATGTTTGTGTACTTTTTAGGGTAATACTGAAAGGGTATACAATTTTTGAGCTTGGGAAGGTAAAGAATAACGTTAAGTGAAAAAATTCTAAATCATTTTGCATCAAAATGGGGAAAGATCCGTGGAAAGACAAAGATATTACAATTTCGTTAATCCAATGCAGAACACAGATTACATTTTCTATTAAGTTTTTTACTAATTATGTGAAATTTTTTCAGTAGCACTTCTCTTATATCTACATACTTCTAATATCGATGCTAAAGTTTCGATAAAAAAAAATTTGTAATTAAAATTATTGACGCTAGTGTATTATTTTGTTCAAATAATTCAAATGCATACCCATAATAAAAGTGAACAAGTTTACAAAAATTCTCAATAGATGTCTCTAAAATAATTACTTTAAAAAAAATTTAACAAATACAAAACCATAGTTTTAAACCAAAACATTTTTCAACTTTTTCTTAGGACAATTTTATTTAGAGAAGTTCACCTAAATAATGGGACAAAACTTTTCAATAATGGGACAAAACTTTACAATTTTCATTTCGTGTTTCAATAAATCCAATAACTGTCACTATGACATTTTAATTTAATTTCACAAGGAATGTTTTGTTGTCAGGAACTGACAGTACCTAAAAAACATTTAAATTGTAAATTTTGTCTCTTTTAATTTATTTTTACTTGCACAAAATAATAAAATACTTGAACAATTCTGAAAATAAATAAAATTTAAAAAATACTAATTTTTAAAAATTAATAAAAAATGGATGATGAAGACTACAATAACGATGAGTAAATATTTTCCAGAAAATTCTAAAATTTTATAAATCTACTATAAGTTAATTTGTATGATTTTTTAGTGTCGGTGGTGATGATTTCGATGATGTAGATGAAGATGATAATATCGATGATATAAATCAGGAAGAGGAGGTGGATAATATAGAACTTATTGCACCCGGACAAGCTGGAGGTGGTGTACCAAAATCAAAAAGGATTACAACTAAATACATGACAAAATATGAACGGGCACGTGTACTTGGTACACGAGCACTTCAAATAGCAATGTGCGCTCCTATTATGGTAGAATTAGAAGGTGAAACAGATCCACTACAAATAGCAATGAAAGAATTAAAACAAAAGAAAATTCCTATAATTATTAGACGATACTTGCCAGATCATTCATTTGAAGATTGGAGCATTGATGAATTAATAATTGTCGACCATTAAAATACATTAGATTTAAAAAAAAAATTTAAATATATTCAATAAAATTTATATATTATGTATATGTGTATATTCAGTTAATGAAAATAACCTAATTAATTATATAAATATAAGATTAATTTAATTATCAGCTCCAAATGAAACCTACACCTTTACTAAAGCAAATTCTTTCAATTAAACTAACTGAATCACTTTGAACATTACACATTAAATCAAGAATTTCTTCTTGCAAACCACAATCAGACAAATTTTCTTTCCCAAAAACTTGGTCCGACACTGTTATTCCCTCCTCTTGGATTAGCTTTTTGGCAACTTTCGTTAAGCCTAAAGTGCTTGGAGGTCCTGTTAAAGTAACGCTAAATGCATTTTTTGTTTCGCTTAGCAAAAACGTCATATATGGTAAAACGCTAGGAAGAATAATCCCCTTGATTTCTGCGCTAAAATATTCTTTTCCATCATTTCTCACTTTACTAGATCGTACAGTAAGACTTTGCATGGACGCTTTTGGGAATGCAACCGGTGATAATAGAGTAGGTGGAATACCAGCTAAACGTCCAACATTGGCTATTGAACTTTTGGAGTTTAGTAAGAAATTAAACAAAGCTTGACATTCTATACCTTCTATCAAAACTGCAGAAATATCACTGAAATCATCAGAAACTTCCTTACTAAATTGTCGTTTCACGTGTACTGTATTGATTTTTCTAATTTCACTTTCTCCGACACCTAAATCTTCTAACCATTTTTCTTCTTCCATATCATCATCACTAGAAATATTTCTTGTACTATCATTTTGATTTTCTTGATTATTACTATTATTTGAATTTTCAGATATTTTGCTATTCTCTTCATTTGATTTATTAAGGTTATTATCTTTCTTTAATGGCATCGAAAATTCTATTTCCTCTTGCCGTAAAGCATTTCGCATTCCTCTTGTCGTAGGAGACATGATAGCGTGCATCTCTGCTCGTCCACCTATTCCAGCAGATCTAAAAGATGTTAAAACTGTAACTTTCATTTGAATTGATTTTCGTACATTTACCTGAATAAGACTGTGAATTGATTAGCACATAAATAAAAATATGGACACTGTCTTGCTCTCAATAATTGAAAAACTCCTCGAAAACTATCCGACCAATCTTTTGTTAAAAAATTACGCTCTTTTTCTTTTATTTGAAAACCACTGTTCTCCTTTGCATTACGAGGAAAAAGAGTTAGCCAAGGTAATGTTGGATGTTGCCAATAATGTAAACCTTGATGAAATCTAGCACCCAATGATATATCAAGGCTAGAGTTCTCGATATCATGTTTTCGATTTATACATCTGACGAATCCAGTTATTCCACTCGCTTCTTGATTAGACTTAAGATTGCTTCCTGGTAAATCCGTTTCACACAATATGCGCATTCGTAATTTTAATCCCCAATCAATGGGTAATCTTTCTCCCGACCTTTCATTATCGTCTGTTTCAGGTTCAACAGTTTCATTAAATAAATTAGCAAAAGTTTTTATATCGAAAGGCTGTGGTTTTGAGCTCTTTACTCCTTTAGTATTATCTTTATTGCTTTCAAAGCTTGCCGTTGGGTTAATTAACTGAAAAATTGTGTCTTCCGAATTCAAAATTTCATCTGAAGATATGGTTTTTTGAATTTTTCTTGAGTGGTCATTACCTCTAACATAAATAATGAGAAATAATAATTAATTAAATTTAGTTTTCCTTTATGTGGGCATACTTCGCAAATGGATTCTTTCTTTTTTGGGCCACAACTGCTTCTAATAAAGCTTCCTTTATCACATCTTTATCCTGCTCAATTTTAACATTACTAACCCTTGCTGCAAGAGCATCTTTCTTTTTCTTGAGTCTATGCAATTTTAAGACCTAAAATTAATTCGCATTAGTCATATCGTAATTAGATTCAAACTAATATTAACTTCATCTGGAGTTTTCCAAGTTTGTGATAAGTTGGCATTTTCCATAATTTTTCAAGACATCGACTTTGAAAAAATTTAAAACGAGGGAAAAAATGAGATTTGAGCACATTCACATTTGATATGGAAAAACATACATATGTACACATGCATATAGGCAAAGAAGAGAACTTCATTTTTTGTTTACAAAATTAATTCCATATTTTTACACCAGGTCGTAATAAAAATACAATTTTGACATACAAATAACTACATTTATAATTCACAATTCAAACATGACCGCAAAAATTCCAATTTGTACTTTTCTAGAAAATTGTTTTTATATAACATACTATATATACATACATATATTATATTTTATGCATTACTGTTGCAAAATTGGATTAATGGAAATCCTAAAATTTAAGGTTTCGGTGTAAACAAAGACAACTTCTACTTTCTCAATATTTTGCAGTCTTGAAAAATCACGAAAGATGGCGTAGTAAAAATAACAAACAAAAGAAAAAATACCCGGTTCCTAAAATATTTTAAATTAATAATAAAGAGTTGCTCTTAGATTTAAAAAAAAATTAATTTCATTTTTGTAAAATAATTATGAAAATTTATTTTCTGAGAATTATAGAGGTAAATTATCTGTTTAAGAAATTTAGCAAATTTTTAAATATGTAATTCATACAACTTAAGGAATTCGACAAGCAAAATGAACAGATTTCAATGATATTGAATAAAAACCAAATGAAAATTCTTATTAATAGTTTAAATTTAAAAGAACAGGTAGGTAATTCCTCCTACATAATATCTAACATACCTATGAACCTCCTTATATTTAGAATTTCAACATATATTTGTTTAGGATTTACTTGGTCAAGTTTTCAAGACTATTTCTTGGAATGTAGGAAGTTTACATATTTTAAAAATTCTTCAAGATTGCAATATTCTTTCAGCCTCTGAATACATATTACAGCAAGGTGATTCTGAAGAAGATTTTGAACATATACAGTGTGTAATGTCAGATATGCTTGAATCAAATAGTGAATTATTTGCCAACATCATTAACAATTGCGCTCATAGTAAGAAATTTATGATCATGCAAAGTTTATTAAATAGTTAAATACTATCTACTATTTATTTAATATAAGATTCATCGAACACAAAGTTGATTTTCTATTTGGATGAAGCAATGTTACGTTTACTGAAAGATTTTCAAGAAAATGAAAACATAATATCGAGTGATTTCTTTAGAAAACTTTTACCCTTTCTAGAAGGAGAATCATTAGAGTACTTAACATGTCTTTGCTTGAATTTTTTACTTGAGCTTAGCACGGATACTGCCAAAGAAGCTTTGGGTCAAATTGATAATTGGAAATCCTCTATATCAAGTGATTCAAAATTTTACGAATTATTAAAAGAGGCAAGACAAAATTCTAGATAAATATTTTACTCCTCTGTTATTTTTTATTCTTATGTAAATAGGTATTATACTATATTAAATATATATACATACATATTTTTTAGATTGTCATATCCAATCTCAGAGGGATAACAAATAAAATTCTACAAGTTTCATTATATCCAAATTTTAATCATTGGAAATATTTAATAATAACATTAGACATCGTTGCAAGAAATTCCGATTCAAGTTTATCAGCGACAATCAAAAGTATGTATGTATGTAGGTAGGTGCATACCTATCTATAAATATAGGCTGTTTAAAAAATGTTTAACTTACTTTTTCTTTGTTTTAGAGCATTTAAGAGATACCTTCAAATTAGCTATAATGAAGGGGTCGTTAAATTTAATGTGTAGCCTCTTAATTATAGCCAGAACAGTTTGTAATGAAGCTGCAGAATCTCTTTTTGATACATATTCATTATTTTATAAAAATACTTTTGGAGATCTAAAATATGTAGTATCAAATAAAAGTGAATTCGAAAACACAATAGACCTTTTAAATACAATAATAGAGGCTGAAACTAATCCCAAATATTTAGAGGTAAGAGTTTTTCTGATATTTGTATGTATTAACGTATGTACGTGCCACTAGAAATATAAATTAGATATTTAAAACAAAATTATGACACTGAGATACTGTTTACAGTTTTTTAATTACATTTTCGTATACAAATTAAAAAACAAATCAAATTTTAATAAAAATCACATTCTTTAAAAAATTTTACTCAGTAGATTTTTAATCAAGCTGATTATCATTAATTGCTCTCATATATTCTGGGTATTGCAAAAATCCATCTTTATCTGTATCAGCAATATCTAAGAAATCGTCGATTACTTCAACTACATGGTCAAATGCTGATTGTTGTTCATCAGCTGTTACTGAATTTTCATAATCCGTTTTCATTAGAGAACGTTCATGATGTAAAGCAGCATATAACATTTCTAAGCCATCAAGTGCATTATTATTGTCATTATCATGTATTTTAAAATGATAAAAGTGTTTTTCTTCTTCAGTTAAAGCACTTTCGTTAACATTAACTCCAATTTTATTTAAATCATCGTCTAAATGCGTCTCTTCATGAACTAAATGTTCATCAAGTTTTGTGTTGGCAGAACGTTTTACAACTTCACCTCTTGGATGATGTGGGCCTCTTCTCATACCAAAACAAATAATATCAATAGATAATATTATTACTATTATAGAATAAGAAAATAAGAACTCTTTGATTTGTTTCATTTTGTGTTTTTCTTATGAAATTCGATATTATTTCTTTATGTTGTGCTAATTAAATATTTTTTTTTTAAGTTTTAAATTATTTTTCTATCTAAAAGTCTCTTAGATACTTAATCCCTACTGTTAACATTGTGTTACTATTTTTTCTGAGCTCTAAAATCAATAGTATGTATAAACAATATGAAGTATACTTGCGCACTAAATTGTATCCTTTATTATTAGAGAAAATTGAATCCGATTTTTTTTTTCATCTTTATTTTTTAGACACATGCCAAAATTTCCATTAATCCGTTCACCCACTGCAATGAAATGATTTTAGAATACAAAAAGAGATGTCGCAAGAAAATTGAAGAAATCTTAGCACCAAGAAATTCAAAAAAAAGAAAATTGGATTCAATGGAAAACCAAATTTTAGAAGAGAGTGACACCGATTTATTTCATTCACAAGATGTAATTTTATTAGATGATTAATTTATTTACATTTTCTCCAAACAAAAACCAAAAAAATTAAATACCTATGCAACCTATCTACATTTTAAATAAAATCTAAATTCCAGCATTTTGAAATTATAATATTTTATGAGTCTAGGTACTATCATTTGTTTTTAAATTACTTCTATTTGCTCCAGCTAAAGGCTTATCACGTTCATCCCAAATTGTAACTCCATCACAAGCGCATATTTTTTTATAATTTTGTAATATACCGGCAGAACGTGCTATTATGCCGCAAGCTAATCTTTGGCCTGTGTTTCCATCGACTCTACTTCTATCATTTTTTCCTTTGCCAAGATCATCTTCATTTTGAGAAATAACCACAGATCGTCCTATAATTTCCCATACTTGTAAAACAGGGTCAATGAAACGAAATGTTGCTCTGCCATTGTCATCAGCTCTTATATTACCTAAATCGCCAGCATGTCTTTTATCAGGTGGGTCCATGGGACTACCATGCGGAGAATTTCTCGGATTATAATGATCACCAACTGAATTACAATCTTGTGATAAATCTCCACACTCGTGTACATGTATGCCGTGTAAACCAGGACTTAAACCATCGATTACACCGTCAACTACGCATCCAGATGAATTTTTATCAATAGCAGAAAATCTTACAACTCCTTTTACGCTTCGTTCTTTATTATTTATCATAACAACGGCTGATTGTCCTAATAAAATATCATACACATACATATGTTTATATATAACAAAAGAAAACCACTCAAATTTAAAATTTTTAGTAGTATATTATAAAAATACGAAAACTACCAACCTCCAAAACCGCAAAGCACCGCTTTCCTTCCAGTTTTCTCAATCTTATCTTGAATTTCTGACCAAGGGACTGTTGAATTTACAATAACCCTACCTAAATTATGTGTGGATAAATTTTGAATGCTATTAAAATTGTATCTTTTTCTATTCAATTGTACTAATTCGTCAAATCAAATTTTTTTACCTAAATTGACATCGACTTCTACTTTTCCAATGCCATCCAATGCTTTGATGACCTTATCTGCACATTTTGGTCCACCCATTTGTACAGCAAATTCTATCTGAAACATTTAGTCTTATTTTAGGTACCTATTGATTGCTATTTAAGAGGTGAACATAATATATGTACGTACCTTAATATCACCCATTTTTTTTTAAATAAAATTCTTTAACTCGCGAAATTTATAAAATCTCAGGGGCTAACTAAACATCAGAAGAATCAGAAGTAGAAATTAATCATGTTTTTTTTAATATACACATGCACTTTCATAAATATGTGTGTGTTATATTTATGAAATATGAAATGTAAACATTCCATCCAATTTAAACCCTTGTAACTCAAAATTCATGATTTTTGCATATACCTATACATAGTAAAAATGTTTGTGTTGTCAAAATTCAAAATTCTTGATTCTAGATTCTTTGAGACCGTATACAAGAACTTAAAAAACTATTCAGCCCTATCATGAATTCCATTTGTGGAATTCTACGAATTGCGAATTTAGTTATGACGTAGACTTTTAAATGATCACAAATTCCTTTCGTAGAGATTTAAAATCAGCAATTGCCACACAATTTGTCGAAGTGTCAAAATGAGTATTTTATTTCAACTGTCAAATTGTTTGGTTGCTATTTCAGTAAACAACTTTTATACAGGATATTTTTAAAATATTCATGCAAAAGAATATTTTTAAAATATTCATGCAAAAGAATATTTTTAAAATATTCATGCAAAAGAATATTTTTAAAATATTCATGCAAAAGAATATTTTTAAAATATCCTTTTGTATGAAGTTTTTGCAGCTTTTTTATTTTTTTTGCATATTTTTGAAAAGTGGAAAAATTTTTTTTGGCAACAGCTATAGATTTATATATTCTTTCATATATTCATTTCTTATACATATATGCTTTCTGTGTTGGAGTAAGGGGCTTTTCGTTTATGCACGCTACGCTGAAAGCTCTATATTAGAACCAAAATTTCTAAGTCGCATTTCAAAGTTGAGCAAAATTCAACACGACTGTTCTCTTTAAATTGTCCGTGACTTCAATAATACTTTAAAAAAGATTTAAGTACGGTATTAATACGGTTGTAGTACCGTCTCAGAGCTTTCAATACCCTTACATTGAAAAAAAAACTACTAAAGGTTTTCGTACATTTTGGAATACAATTTTTACTATATCAATACAACTTTGACGTTTATTTGAAAATTTAATTTTAAAGTGCTGTTGAAATGTTCATTCTTATAAAACGTTACCACATCATTAAAAACATAGCATTTTTATGCTGCATTTTAGGAAAGAAAATTGATAAGTAGAACTTTATTGCTGACAACACATATATGCTAGTTTATTATATCGGTTATTTCTGGCAACATTTATTTAACAAGGTATAAGAAAAGCGTGCTCGATTTTTTCGATACCCGATTTACTTTTATTTTACGTCTTCACCACGTATAAAACGCATTTAGGAAAGTGTACAATGTCAAGAGCTTTTACTAAACTTTTCGGAATTTGGTAGTTTCTAAAATTTATGTCGTAAAATTTATGTTATGAGCAGAATTTTAATAATTCGTAATTGATATATTCGTAATTTTCCGAGTTTCAGAGCTACGAACTAAATTCATGACAGAACTGATGATTTATTTTGCCTTCTTGGTAAAACGATACATATTTCTATTTTGTTAAACCCGAATGAATAAAATGACAATTAAATAACTTGTGAAGTAATTTTACTTCTAGTACTAGTGGATACAAATGTGAGTTAGTTTGATACGTTAAATGTCAAAATTAATATTTTTAAATTCATAATTTATATTTGTATAGGGAATCTTTCACTGTACTTTTCCCCTCAAGTTGCCGTTATATTTAAAAAATAAAACCTTTTTTATTTTATTAATTTATTTAATCCATTCATAAAACATATTTTAAACATTAAATGTATCAGATTTGCTTAAATGTTATTTCCTTACCTAACGTTGAAATTAAATTGTAATTCAAAAGAATTTAAAAGCAATATTTAATTAGTATTCGGTTTTATACATAAATATTATATATATGTATTAATATTGAAATACTTGTAACTAATTAAATCTACTGAATTTTAGATGATACTCTAAAAATAAACTTGGAAATTGATCACAATAAATTCTTTTTTTTTTTTTTTTATTTTCACTAAAAAGTTATTTGTTTTTTCTTTTAATATATACGTATCTTAAAACTTTAATTGTAGAAGATGAGCGTGATTTTGATTATTTGATGTTTGATGATGACGATTATTATTATAATGAACAATTAATTGTAATGTAAATAATAAACTACCAAAAAAACGTGAACCGAAATAATATAAGAGTAATAAAGAAATTAATATTGTTCATAGAAGAGAAATATATGTATATCGTATAATTTTAAAAATATTTTTTTAGTTTTATTTTGGAAAATTAGAGTAGAAACTTAATTTTTAACTGGTAATGGTGGTGGTGGATATGCATATATGTGTGGTGGTAACGTATAGCTAACGGGAACAGCATATTGCTGAATATAATGGGAATGATGTTGTTGAGTTGCTTGATGATGATGGTGATGATGATGCGCACTCATCATTTGACCATGCTGTTGCATTTGTTGCTGTGAATGATGGCCATATTTATTTTGATGTCCATTTACAATTACGTCATCTGAACCCTGGATTTTTCCATTATAGTGACGTTGTTGTGGATTATCAGATTTTTTATATTGTTCATATTTCTTTACAATTGGTCTTTCTTTTAAATTATATGGTGACGTTCTTTTATATCCATGTTTATATTGTTGGTTTGAATTTCTTTCTGATGTTTCATCTGTTATTGGCGAAACTCTTGATTTGTATCCATTAACTCTTTGTTGTGATGGATCATTTACATGACCATTTGGGTGTGGTTGATTTGGTTCCATTTTTCTATAATGTGGATGTTGCTGTTGCATTTGTTGCTGTTGCTGATATGACTGCAGGGGTTTTCCATTTTGATCATGTCCAGGTTTTATTTTATATCCGTAGATATTTTTACGTGGTTGATTTGCAGCTGCAAGTGCCATATTTTTTTGGAAACGATTTTTCTTACCAAAACCAATTGTTAATCTTGCCATTTCCAACAAACGAGGGTTTATGGGCTACATTTAAAAAAAAAAAATAAATAGGTTATTACAATATCAAAAAGAAATATATGAACATTTTACATGTGATACCTGGTTCGCTTCACGCATAACATTTACCAGATCATTCGCTTTATTTGCATTTTGTGGCGTAAACAATGTGTATGCTGTTCCCGTGTTATTTGAGCGACCAGTGCGCCCAATTCGATGCACATAATCTTCCGAATTGGATGGATAATCATAATTGATCACAAATTTCACATCTTCGACATCTGTATTGCGATTGGGGTGGTTTTTTTTTGTTTTTGATTTTTTTTTTTGTTAAGTTATTCAAAATTATTATTTTGAATAGGAAAGAATTGAATGAATATAGGAATAGGTTTTATAATTTGTAGATTTTCGTAATTGTTATTGGTTGTTTATATAATTGGATTGAGGATTAAGTTTGTGATCGGAAAGTAAGGTTGAAAAAATTTATTATTAAAAACAACGAATACCTTAAAAGTATTTTGATAAAACTGTAAAATTTTGAAATAATTCGAACAAAAATTTCATTTCGATTTTTTTTTCTATTTGCTTTTCTTCTTAATAACTTTTTTTTTTAAATTAAATACTTTAACATTGGCCTCGACTTCGGTATTTTTGGAATAAAATTTTTTTTTAATTTCCTTTTTTTTACTTATTTTTTTAGTTACTCACCTTTGTATTTTTCCTGAAATTGTTTAATTTTTATATTTGATAATTTATAAAATCCTAATCCTAAAATTCGAAGCGAGACACCAGAATATTGTTTAGGCGCGCGGGTAAACAAAAATTCAAGATTAAAAATCATCCTTTTTGCTCCTTTTTGTTGAACATTAGGAAAAATTAGTGTTTATCCCACACACACATTTATTTTAATACTTGTGAAAAAAAAATAATTTTTTAAAAAGCAAAGGTCGGCAATATTATAAATCACTCTAATTAACTTATATAAAAATTATTTAAAAAAAAACTATTAATTAAATACATTTCATTATATTAACGAAAAAATAAATGAAAAAAATAAAAATAAATTTATAATAACAAAAAAAAAGTTTCTTTTAAGCCATTTTTAGCAAGAATCCAATTATGATAAATGCATAAAAATGATTTAATATAGAATTTATAGATAAGATTCTAGAATTAAATAAAAATAATACTAAATTATTATAACTTAACTAAATCTAGTTTAATTTGTATTTTTTTTTATAATTTTTTTTGTTTAAATTTAATTTAAGTTTAGAATGTGTTTTACCTAAGAAAGTTAAATTATTCATAAAATCCAACACATTATCGACCTATAACTAATATAGATAAATAAAGAAGTGTTTAAAAATTTTATTTGTAATCAACTACTAGTATGTAAAACTATGAAGCTTTTCACTTTTTGATTGAAATTTTTTTAGAATTGCGTCATTGCAACCAAATACACGTATTAATTTTTTACTTATGTGAACATAAGTGTAATAACTAGATTTTTCTTAATATATATGTAAAAATTTCAGTAATTTTTTCTGTTTGTTGTAGCATATATAAAAATATTAATTTTTAGCTGCAAATTGCTTCAAAATAATCTGGAAATGTACATTACCCACAATATGTAATTGTACCTACTCTTTCTTTTCATAAGCAGCTAAAAAATGTGTTAAGAACTTACATATTTACCTTAGCGTTCTTACAAGAATAACAGTTTTTATTAATGAAATTTCAAGTGATTAATTTCACCTCTCTTTATATATAATTTTGGATATTTGTTTTATTTCTAAAACTCGTTTATTTTAGAAAAAATAAATTTTAATCAAATAAAAAGTAAAATTAAAGCAATATAAATATAACCTTGATTTGCCGACACTTTACATGCCAAAAAAAAAAGTATTAATTTTTTCTTTTTTCTTTTTGTTTTTTAACTAATACATTATTTTTTAAAAATCGAAGTCCATTTTTGTTAATTTTTGCATTTTTTATATATTTTGTTCGAAATAAATATTTTATAGGCACACATCTTAACTGATATATGTTGATTTAATTTTATTAATTCTATTTCATTTTGTGTTTTCTTTTTTTAAGTAAGATTAATCTGTTTTTTTAATTTTTTTTTTCGATTTTTTTTTTTGTGGTCAGTCAAACACAATTTAGCCGAAATTCTGAATGAATCTGTTCCTTTAGATTATCTAAATATGCGTCGTTTTACATTTAAATTGTATGAATTTAAATAATTTCAATTAAATTTTGCATGATTGATTGATTAAAGTCATAAATGTGTTCACTTGTTATTAATCTTAAATTTAAAAATTATAAAAGTATACATTTTTGTCACAAAAAATTTCTCACCAGTAGTTTTTCTGTCTGCAATAATATTTTGATAGAATATTATTAAGACACATTTTTTTAATCAAACTAATTAAAAAAAAAACATGCAAGAAATTAATTTGAAAAACTTAGATTCACAAAAATAAATATATTATATAAAATATCTACGTTTTTTATAGTAAATAAAATATATGAATATATTAATTGTTAGTTTTTAAACTTTCTTTTTATTATATAAAGTTCGAAATGCGAAAAAAAACCTAGCTAGCAGTAGTAGTAAATATAATTTGAATTTAATTCATTTTACAGTTATTCTAAAATTTTGAAAATATTTTCAAACTAAAATCTCAAAAAAAGAAAATTAAAATTAAAGACACTAAATAAAATCAAAATTTTAATTTTCATTTCTTAAAAGATTGTGATAATTCACATGCAAGTGTAAATATTAAAAATATGTTTATATTATTATAAGTAGGAAAGGAAGAGTTTATATATATTTTAGTAAGTAAATATTACTTGCATTTTTTTATTAATTTTTCTTATGCCAATTTTTTTTATGTTAAAAAAAATCTATTTAAATTTCATTTCAATAATATAATTAATGTAGGTAAAAACGCAATGGAGAAATCAAAAAATCTTGTCACATAAAAAAAAAATTTTTAAATAAAAAAATTATTGAATCTCATTATTAAGTGAACTATTAAAAAAAAAAAAAGTAAAAAAAAATGAAAACATTACCTTAAAAATAAAAAAATTTTCTACTTTTTGAAATAAATTTTGTTTCTTTTGAAATTTTTATATAAAATTTATCCGATTTATTTAGTTTTTTTTTTCTTGTTTTAATAAATGAGATACTTTTGGCGATTAAAAGCAACAATTCAATTTTCCTAAATAAATTCATCTTTCAAATAATTTATAATTTATCATTTTCTTAAAAAATAAAGCCCAGCATTCTATTACATAATAAATATTAAAAAAATTTTAAAAATTACCTCAAATGTAAAACAATCTTATAAGCCTGAAAAATTTTTTGTTTTTACTTACCAAATAACATGAAGAACAAATCATCTTTCAAGTAGCTTGGGATTTTGTTTATAAAATACTGGACGTAAATTTTTCAAGTTATTTTGGACAGTATGAAAAATTAAAATAATTTTTTTTTTTGTTGTTTTTTAGTTTTATCCCAATAGAAATTATTTTTATATTGGAATAATTTACCGTATTCGTGAACAGAATTCCTGGCAATTCTCATCTGACTGACAATTAAATGTCGGATTTTTTTTTTTTATATTTTAGATTTCAATCCTAAATTTTTTTTTTAAGAAAATCTAAATTTTTTTTTTATATTTAATTTTACGAATTACCCAAATAAAAAATAAAAGAAAAATTAGGTAATTTTATCATTCAATATCATAAATGTTAAATTGTGCCCCAATATATAAATATTATGATTACGTAATGTCATTATAATTGGAATATAATTCAATTTCTTACCTAAACCCCTTGCTGCAACATCAGTGGCAACCAAAATTGTTTGTCTGCCATTACGGAATGCATTCAATACATAATCTCGTTCATTTTGAGATTTATCACCATGTATTGCACTTGCACGCCAGCCTTGACGTGCAATTGCACGTGTTATATCATCAACACGTTTTTTAGTTTCAACAAATATAATTGTCTTCGTATCAATTTCAGATGATATTTCAGTTAGTAACTTCATCAGTTTAGTTTCTTTTTCTGTTTCTTCGCAAACATCAACTATTTGAAGAATGTTATGATTTGCAGCCAAACTCAAAGAACCAATATTAATTTGGATGTAATTGTCCAAAAACTCTTCAGCCAAATTACGAACTTCTTTCGGCCATGTTGCTGACCACATTAATACTTGACGATCAGGACGAATTTGTGATATAATTTTACGAATTTGTGGCTCGAATCCCATATCTAACATACGATCAGCCTCATCGAGAACTAAATAAGTGCAACGTTTCAAATTTGTTATTCCCCTTTCCAAAAAGTCAATCAATCTTCCAGGTGTAGCAATAACAATTTCAACACCACGTTGTAAATCTCGAGATTGAGCATGCTTTGGTGCTCCACCAAAAATGCAAGTATTATTGACACGAGTACGAGATCCAAATTCTTGTGCTACTTTTTGTATTTGTTGAGCCAATTCGCGTGTTGGTGCAAGAATTAATGCAATAGGACCTTCACCACGTTGTAATTTTGGTTGATGATTGATATGAACAACAGCCGGCAAAACATAAGCCAAAGTTTTTCCTGAACCAGTCTGAGCAATACCAACCATATCCCGACCACTCAAAGCTCTGATTATAAGAAATAAAAATTGTATTATAACAGTGAATTATTAGTTTTAAAATTGAATTCTTACATGGGCCATCCTTGGGCCTGAATGGAAGTTGGTTCAGTAAATCCCTGCTTAACTATTTCATCCATAACATAATCTGGAAAACCATTCTCCAAAAATTCCAAAGTTGGCGCCGGAACAGATTTTCCTTTGACAGTTATTTCATTTTTAGACAAAAAATCATCAACATCCTCTTTGGGACGGTTTTCAACTGATGTAGAAGTTTTATAAAAATTTTTCTTAAACGGAGCCAAATTTTCCCATTGTTTTAATCTTTCTTGTCGAAGAGCTTCATAATCTACCTCTGGTGCTCTAATTTTATTAGGATTTGGTCGCGGAGGACCTGCAACATGCCGATTTGGTTGCATCCCATTACGATTAGGTACAACCCGACCATCTTTATTGTATCCATTTCTATTTACACCATTCGGACGTGTCATTACGTTGTTGTACCTATAGTTCAATAAAATATTACATATTTTCGTTCTTGAGAAACAAATTTAAGAAAAATCTTTATTTTTAATCATTTTTATTATAAAAAAAATATACATTTCTGTCCGGTTAATTGCACGAAGCCTAATTAATATTTCACTTTTTTAAACGAAAAGCTGAAACAAATTTCCATTACTATTAAATGTGTACCTACAATTTTTATAAAAAATTCACTCTTTACAGACATTAAAAAAAAAAAAATCCCCAATTTACGTAGATACATTAATTTAAAAACTAATCACATATATATATACGTGTTATTCAATAAAAAAAAATCAATGAAAAAATAGATATTCAAGTTTTGCTTTGTGCATATACACACCTACTTATGTATTTCAAATTTGATTATGGTATACATACAATATTTTCATGGTATGTACCAGTATAATAGAGCATGTCCACTATTGATTTTATATGAAACCATAGATATAATTATTGCTTTTTGCGACAACTGCGGGTATTTTTTTAAATGCGTAAACTGTAGCTAAAAAAAAAAATCGCTTTTGTGTTCGCAGCGATTGTTTTAATTAAAGGGGAATTTGAAATTTCCTTCACCGCTGAATTGAATCAAAAATTAAGAAAGAAATTTTTTGATTATCGATTTTTCGGGAACGTCAGTCAAATGATACATTTCTGAATGAATATACTATATTATGGCCATAAACGATTCTTAGATTTATATACATATATACTTACATAAGTACAGTACCTTTAAAACTTTCAAAAGCATATGTACACAAATGTATATACAACCTTATAACACAAATTCATAGCTGATATGACTTTACCTGTAGTTATATAAATATAGTGTACATACTACATAGAAGCATGTACTTATATACCAAATGCTTTATTGTATACAAATATACAATATAGATATGTATGTATGAATACATGAATAAATCTAAAAATATCTGGGTTGAACTTACTAGTTAGAAAAACATGTAAAAAAAAAAAAAAAAATATGTACACATTGCAGCGCAGCGCAGAAATAAAAATAAAAAAAAAAAAAAAAAAAAATCGATTAAGCACACGTAATTTGAAAATTTTTCATATATGTATGTATGTATGCCTAATTTCCCGTGACCCCATTAATTTCGGATAGTTGTGAAATTTATTCAATTATTAAATTACTAATTTCGAGAAAATTAAAGTATTTAAATTTTTTTATTATTTTAAATACAAACTATCGCCTTTTTTTAAATATATATTCTTACATCGTACTCGCTTTAAAAAGGAATACGCCGCCATCTTGAATTTTCCAGACTTAAATTCAAACTATTTTTAAAATGCGTATATAATTTTAAATATTTTATTTCAAAAGCATTTTATTTTTGAAAAAAAAATACTTACATTTTGATTTGAAGTTTTTTAATTATTATGTTTAATAAAGAACTGCTTTTTTTTTTTTTAATTAAATTTATTTTCCACTGAAATTTTAACACTACCTTTCACACAGGAAATTTTCAGAAGAATGAAATAGGGTTGAACAAAAAGAAGATCCCTACCCTATGAAATCGTCTAAAAAAAAAATCAGTTAAAAATCGATTAAAATAAATATATCTTCTTTTAAAATCGATTATTTAAATATATAGATCGAGATTGATTGCAATTTAAGAGCTTATGGTTTTCTCATTGTGTTTTATACAGTTTGCGTAGCTGAAAATTAAAATTGATTTTATTTCATAAATATACACTAGCGCTAATCATTTACTGCGTTAATATGCAGCTTGAAGCCGACTTCAAGGCAGATTTCGAGTTCATGCAAACGTTACTTGACTTGACATATATATCAACGATAACATATCTTATTTTACTGCTAATAATAGAAATTACTCTACTCATCAGACTTACTTTCAGGTTCTTTTAAAGTACAAATGAAATAAAAGAACAAATTTCAGGTAACTTGTAAAAAAAAATAAGGCTCGAGAATAGTTTTAAAATAATTTGATCAAAAAAAATTCAAGTGTTTCCTTCCAAAATCAAAGTATATAGACGAATTTAGAACAGTCTCGGGAAGGTAATTATAATTCTTTTATTTGTATATACTTTTTTTGTATATACAAATAAAAGAATATACAAATATTCTTTTATTATGAAATATACATATTTCATAAGTTTCACTTTATAAGTTTATTTACATAGGCAAATGATTTATAAGAAAGTCGTAAATATGCAAATGTTTTTCTAACACAATGAAATATTTGAACTTGCCAGTTTATTATCTGCTGAATGGGCAAAAATATTTATTAATCAGTAATTTAACTAAGTAATTCGGCATATTGTGTAGTATGTTCGGCAAACTTTTCTTCCAATAACAAGCCTATGTAAACGCTGTGCTGGACAGTAAAATTTATGACTCTTGCATGATATTTTGAGGCAGCTTTACTTTGACGACTTCATTTAAAATTGACATTTTTGAAAATTTTATGGATATCTGTCATAATTTCGAAACAACTACATTTAAGAAGAGTCAAAGGAGAACATTAACGTGCGCGGGATATTTATAAACTATAAAAAGTTAAAAGCAAAGGTGATTCAAAGTAGTATATCAAAGTAATTAACCGGTTGTTTTTTTTCGTGTTTGCAGAACTGTATTAGGTACTAGAAAATTAAAAAGAGCAGCGTTAGTGTTAACTTTGGAAGTTCAAGTTTTAAAATTAATAATAATTACCAATAAAAGTGATAAAACTAGTAATTCGCAAAAATTTTATAAAATTACACCACGATGGAAATTAATGATCAAACACTACAGCAACTTGCTAGTTACTTGCAACAAACTCTAAGCCCAGATCCAAATATAAGACGTCCCGCTGAAAAATTACTTGAATCAACAGAAATTCAACAAAACTACCCAGTTTTATTACTCAATTTAATTGATAAATCCGAACTAGACTTGACCATTCGTGTTGCTGGAGCAATAGCTTTTAAAAATTATGTAAAAAGGAATTGGGCTATTGATGCAGAAGGTGATGGAATTGATAAAATTCATGAGTCGGATAGAATAGCAATCAAAGGATTAATAGTAACATTAATGTTGAAATCTCCAAACGCTTTGCAAAAGCAATTAAGTGATGCTGTAAGTATCATCGGAAAACACGATTTTCCTAAAAAATGGCCACAACTTATAGACGAAATGGTTGAAAAATTTGCCACTGGTGATTTTAACATAATAAATGGAATTCTTCAAACAGCACACTCATTATTTAAAAGATATAGATTTGAGTTTAAATCACAATCCTTGTGGGAAGAAATAAAACTGGTTTTAGATAAAATGGCTAGGCCATTAACGGATTTATTATTAGCGACTATAGGTTTGGCAAAACAACATGAGAACAACAAAGAAGCTCTTAAAGTTATATATGGTAGTTTAGTGCTTGTCTGCAAAGTATTTAACTCGTTAAATTCGCAAGATTTACCAGAATTTTTTGAGGACAATATGCAAACTTGGATGGGAGCTTTTCACCAATTTTTAACAGAAGATGTTGCCTGCCTGCATACAGGTGATGATGAAGAAGCAGGAGTATTGGAACATTTGCGTTCGCAAGTTTGTGAAAACTTAGTGTTATACGCCTCAAAATATGACGAGGAATTTAAAGATTACATGTCTCAATTTGTTACTGATATTTGGGAATTATTGGTTAAGACTGGCATTCAAACAAAATATGATGCTCTAGTTTCTAACGCATTAACTTTCTTATCTACTGTAGCGGATCGACAACATTATAGGCAATTGTTTGAAGATCCTACAGTTTTGTCAAGCATTTGTGAAAAAGTTGTGATCCCCAATATGGATTTTAGAACTTCAGATGAAGAGTTATTCGAAGATAATCCAGAAGAATATATCAGACGTGACATCGAAGGCTCAGATATTGAAACAAGGCGCAGAGCTGCTTGTGATTTAGTCAAAACTTTATCTCAAAATTTTGAAGCAAAAATTTTTGAAATTTTCGGCCAATATTTGCAGGTATGAAAGAATAATATATAAATAATATAAAATGTTAATCATATTATTTAAGATATTGCTCGCAAAATACAGCGAAAATCCTCAAGCCAATTGGCGTGCAAAAGATACAGCAATTTATTTGGTAACTTCTTTAGCGTCCAGAGGAGGTACTCAAAAACACGGTGTCACAAAAACTTCTGAATTGGTATCTCTGCCACAATTTTGTCAGCAACAAATTATACCAGAACTTGAAAGGATAAACAGTTAGTATTTAAAATTGTTATTTACAAATTATTTAAAAAAAAATTATTATTTTAGTAAATGAACTTGCTGTACTAAAAGCAGATGCTATTAAATTTATCATGGTGTTCCGCAGTTTATTAGGTCCAGAAACGTTGATTGTTTGTTTACCGCACTTAATTCGGCATTTACCATCAGAAAGTATAGTTGTACATAGCTACGCGGCTTGCACTATAGAAAAAATTTTTTGCATTAGAACAGCGACAAATTCTTCGCTAATAACTTCTGCGCAACTTCAACCAATGGCAGCTAATCTCATAAGTGGACTATTTTCTACTCTTTCACTACAGGGATCAGCAGAAAATGAATACGTTATGAAAGGTAATTCACATATAAATAAAACATAAATATGTTATTTTAACTGTGATATCTTTTAGCTATAATGAGATCTTTTTCAACATTGCAAGAAGCAACAATGCCATTCATGGCGGAGGCACTTCCTAAGCTTACTCAAATATTAGCTCTTGTGGCTAAGAATCCATCTAAACCACATTTTAATCATTATTTATTTGAAACATTATCTCTTTCTATTAAGTAAATTAATAATATTATTATATTCTGGTTTTCTTACTCATGTCTGTCTATTTTTAAGAATTGTCTGTAAGGTTCAACCAAGTGCAGTTAGTTCTTTTGAAGAAGCATTGTTTCCAGTATTCCAAGCAATTTTACAACAAGATATTTTAGAATTTATGCCGTATGTTTTTCAAATACTTTCACTTTTATTGGAAATAAGAGAAGGGGCAGGTACGATACCCGATCCCTATTGGTCATTATTCCCGTGTTTATTATCTCCAACTCTATGGGATCGGCCTGGAAATGTAACGCCTTTGATTCGATTAATTAGTGCATTCATAAGACAAGGTTCATCTCAAATATCAAGCTTAGGAAAACTAAATGCCGTGTTAGGTGTTTTCCAGAAAATGATAGCATCTAAAGCTAATGATCATGAAGGGTTTTATTTAATGCAAAATTTGATAAGTTATTACCCCAGGTAAAAAAGTACACATAAAAATCTCAAATTTTAACAAAACAATTTTTTTTTGCAGAGATGAACTCCAACAAGTAATGAAACAAATTTTTGGACTATTATTTCAACGTCTTTCGTCTTCAAAAACAACAAAATATGTTAAAGGAATAATTGTGTTTTTTTGTTTTTATGCAACAAAGTTGGGCGCTCAACAATTAGTTGATTTAATAGATAGTATACAAACACAAATGTTTGGCATGGTGATAGAACGTGTTTTAATTTCGGATATGACAAAAGTATCCAGTGATATGGATCGAAAAATTGTTTCAGTTGGTATTTCAAAAATTCTGACTGAATCCCCATCAATGCTCAACGCACCGTACGTTGAAATGTGGCCGAATCTTCTAAAAACATTGATTGAGCTTTTTGAATTACCTGTTGACGAATCTACTTTAGAGGGCGATAATTTCATTGAAATTGAAGATACACCAGGCTATCAAGTGGCATTTTCACAACTGAATTTTGCACATCCAAAAAAGCAGGACTTTTTATCCGATATACCAGACGGAAAGCGATTTTTAGCTGAAAGTTTAGCTAAGCTTTCACAGTCTTGTCCAGGTCGAATCACAGGATACATCCAAAATTTGTCAAATGATCATCAAATTGCTTTGCAGAAATATTGCGCTCAAGCTTCAGTTCAGATTTTATAATTTCTAATTTTATTATTTCTAATTTTAATTTCATGTAAGCAATTTTATTTGTGAAATTCAAAAACTGTTTGTACATTTGTAATATTAAAGTCATATATTATTCTAAGATGTGATTTTTTTTTATACATGTAAAAAAAACAAAACGCTAATCTTAAAAAATCAGTTAAATCTGTTTCTTTAAAGTAACAAATTTGAGTGCAAGCTAATAAATTTCAATTAAATAAAAAATTATGTCTACCTCTCACGGGAATGTTAGACTCTAAAATGTCATGTTTAAATACAAAATATAATTTTCCCTTTTCAAAAAGTAAAAAAAATAATATTGTGCTAACAAACTTAAAGCATAAAAAATACTAATAATGAGACAAATGTTCTCAATTATCAAAACACAAAAGTAATTTAACATTGATTTCATTTTGTGCTTCTTTTGTTCTTTTGTTTTGAATCTGCAGTGTTGTCTTCAAAATTTTATTACGCTATTGGATTTTTTTTCATTAGTTCGATATCAGATTTCATCATATCCTCAACAAGCTCCTGGAATGTAACTTTGGGTGACCAATGAAGTTCTTTCTTAGCTTTGCTTGCATCTCCCAAAAGCAGATCAACTTCGGTGGGCCTGAAGTATTTAGGATTTATTTTCACCCGTACGACGTTTGTGTCTTTTTCAACTCCTACCTCGTCACAACCTTTTCCACGCCATATAATTTCCCTTCCAATATATTTAAATGATGCTTCAACAAATTCTCTCACACTATGTGTCTCTCCAGTCGCTATAACGTAATCTGATGGATTATCTTTTTGTAACATCATCCACATAGCTTCAACATAGTCTCGTGCATGTCCCCAATCACGTTTTGAATCCAAATTACCTAATTCAAAACAATCTAACTGATTGAGAAATATTTTAGCTACAGACCGAGTAATTTTCCTTGTAACAAAATTTTCTCCGCGGCGCGGAGATTCGTGATTAAAAAGAATGCCATTACAAGCAAACATATTATAAGCTTCTCTGTAATTTGTCACGATCCAGTAGCCATATAATTTGGCACATGCTAAAATTTAAGGAAAAATATAATATATGTATCGCATTTTTTTTTTTTGAAATTTACCATAAGGAGATCTAGGATAAAAAGGTGTTTTTTCATTTTGTGGTGTTTCAACCACTTTTCCATATAATTCAGATGTTGAAGCTTGATAAAATTTTACAATTTTTTCTATACCGCATGTTCTAATAGCATCTAAAATTCTTAAAGTTCCAACCGCATCAACTTCAGCAGTATATTCACTCAAATCAAAAGAAACTTTAACATGACTTTGAGCTGCTAAATTGTATATCTCTTTGGGTTTTACCATGTTAATAATTTTTACCAAACTACTGCTGTCAGTCATGTCACCATAGTGTAATTTGAGTTTACCTTCGCGATGCGCTATTGGATCAGCATATAAATGTTCAATTCGGGATGTATTAAAAGTACTAGCCCGTCGAATTATTCCGTGAACCTCATAATCTTTCTCTAACAAGAACTCAGCAAGATATGACCCATCCTGAAAAAAATCTATTAGCTCTTGGATATTGTATGTATTTTTATATATAAATATACTTGACCGGTGATGCCGGTTATTAAAGCTATTTTTTCAGTTGAAACTGTCGAATCATTAACATGATTTGAAGAATTCATAATAATGATTTAATTAGTATAATTTCAAATAAAAAATTTTATTCAAGTCCACTTCAAGAATGTAAATAATAAAAACGTATATAAGTAAAGCAATTAAACTTCGTTTTTGTTTTGATAAGAGAAAATATACTTAATAAGAATATTACCAAGTTTTTAAAATATCAATGCTAAAACACCATATTTGCTCAATTTTGCATTTAACTGAATTGATTAAAGTTTACACAAGTTTACATTTATATTCGTGTGCAAAACTAATATTTTTTACAATTGCACTATTCTATGCAGAACTTTCCTTACAATATTAACTGTTCGGAAGTGCATAATTGAAGCCATAAAATAAAAGTAGCAGTTTGGGCTGCTAATTATTAATCCAATGCAATTAAGTAATCAAACATCTTATAAACTTTTACAAAACTAATTGGAATATAGTTATTTCAAATTAAATATACTAAAATTTTATATTATATTACTACTGTTAATTTGATCGCAAATTAATTGCTTAAGCATTCGCGCTATTAATTTACAATAAAATCGTAATTATAAAATTTAAAAAATGCATGTTTAACATTAAATTGTGTGGAAAGTTTTGCTATAATCAAAATTTCATTTATGTCATTTCAATAACGTAAATAAAATATCAATTGATATATTATTTACTTGCCCCTACATTTTTTAATGTAAGTTCTTAAAAATTTTAGAACACGTATATTACATAATTATTATTTAACAATATGTACTTTTATTACATAAACTATCTTGTCATTTTTACTACCTTCATATTTTTAACTAACGATAAGTAATTTATTTGACATTTTTCTTATCGAATGTCATTCAATATGTATGTACGTCGTATGGAAAATAATAAGATTCTTATTAGATTCGCATTCGCATTTCGCAGTTTCGTACATATCAAAAATTTTTTTTATTTGCTGCTTAAAATTATATTTGGGAAGCGATAAGAATTTTAATTTTTAATTTTGTTTACAAATATATTTTTATATATATAAATATGCTTATCAATAATAGTTGTTAATATTGTTATTTTATTTTACGTATTTTTTTTATGTAAAATGTGATATTTTTGATATATTTAATTAATTGTATGTTATGCCTACATTCCATAAATTTGTGATAATTAATTGGCGTAGTAAAATTTTTTTTTTTTAAAGAAATTTTAATATAAATTTTATTTTAGAAAAGGAATTAAAAGGGTAAGATGATTTGATTAACAATTTGTTGTTTTCTATTTTGTAAATATATTAAACATAGAATTTTATTATTTATATATTAAAAATTGTTTTAATAGTCAAATTAAATAAGGTTAAATTACACTGTTATGAAAGTATAGATACATTTTTTTGACCTTGCTCCTGTAAAAGTGTATAATATTTATGTACTTACATTCTTAATAAGAATCTTATAAGAAATTAGGTGGGTACCTACTATTTATTTAATATTAATATTCTATTTTCAAACGTAAGTAACGATAGTAAAATAAAAGGCATTTACATGCATACAGTACATTGGTTCCATGCATAAGTATATCGGTTAAAGTGTTCAAATAAAGCAAAAAATCAAGAGCCTAGCTTGGAAGGTTCTGTTCTGTGTACCTACTCAAATCGTCGTGTAGACCGTCTTGTATCATACGGAAGTGGCTATGTACCATACGATTGTCTATCTAATCATATAAATACATATATATTAGAGTACATATTATTACATATATAATAACTGCCAAAAAAATTCTTTACAATTTCTTTACCAATTGTTGCGTATAACCGGCGGGTATACATACATACATATGTACATGTGCCTATGTATCGTAAAAACTTTTAATAACCCTTTTTGAAAAAAGTAGTAAGTACATACGAAAAATTTTTATAATTAATATTAAGAAACCATAGAAATAGGTTCATTAGTTAATTGCACATACATACATACATTTTTCTTTATATAGTTGTGTATATTATTATGGATACCTTAAAAAAAAAATTTATATACAACATTTGATTTAAGTGTTAATTATAGGTTTCTGAACGTAAAAAGTACATAATATAGAGAAACAAAAACAATATTACCTTATAAAGCATTAACTATTATAACATTTACATTGAATAAAAACAAAAAGATTAAAATTGGAAATAACAACATTTTTAAGAGAAAATATAAATACATTTATGGTTATTAAGTATACATATACACTATATTATGCTATGTAGTTGAAATGTTGTTATTAATAGTAATAATCTAATAGTAGTAAAAATAATAGTAAACAATATAACGTTTACGTACATAACTACGTAATAATTTTACGTGGATGAGGTTAATCAATTGCTGACATACTAAACACTGTCGCATAAGTAACTATAAGTAGGATTTTTTGTTTTCTTTCCTATTATTTTTGCAATTACCTACTTACTGCTGTAACACATTAAGTGTTATTGCTCCACTATTATAAATTATCAAATAAGTAACTATAAGTATTTTGTTTCCTTTTATATTATTTATGCAAAAATATTGCAATTAATGACGTAATTAATTGAAATTACAAAAAGCTTACATAGTAAGTATTTGCCCATCCACTTACCTAATTTGTAATATTGGAATAAAAATGATTATTGGCATTTCTCAAAATTTATATTTTAATTTTTTTTTGTTATACCTAATTTCCTTAAAATATTTATAATAGTTGAATGAAATGTAATTAAATAAGATAAATTTTATTTCAAAAAGTAAATAATTTTTAAAATTAAAATAATGTATGTATGTATATGTACTTATACATAGGTACTCGTATACCAAAAAATTAGACAAATGTTTTGTTCTATTTCTATATTTAAATTGCAAAGAGAACACAAATAATTTATTGTTAGACGTGCAAATATTAAAATAAAAGAATCAAAAGTAACGTAAACATAAAAATACAAATTTTTTTGAGAAGAAATCAAAACAGTTGCAATAAAAATTAAAAGCTTCTTTATTTATTTGAAATTCGTTATTAGAAAATATTCATAATTATCATATTCGACGACTATAAGAATCTATTACGCAGGTGTTATAATTTTTTATAAATTCTATTTTTGAATTTTAATAATAATAATAATTTTGTACGTTTTTTTAATCAATAATTGTTAAATAAGTATATTTTTGCATGATGAAATTTTCTTCAGTTTTTAATAAAAAGGTGTAATCGATAATGTTTAATGCCGACAACAATTGCATCTGACAGTCACTAACCGGCAATCAACAAGTTATAATAAAAAAACTTTTGCATATCAACTTTCGTGAACAACGTTTGCATACAAACGGTTGACAACTGCTTTAGCAACAAATTATTTTTGATTTGAATATTTCTAGAACTAAATTTCATTAAGTAAAATTAACTTATTATCATCAAAATTTTTCATTTTGCACAAAAGACACAACCAACAATTCGAAATTTTTTATTTACAACGTTTGCATACAAAAATTGTCGACAAATGTCAAAAATTTTTATTAATTATAGACATTATTAATTACAGACATTTTCTTTTTGCATTATTGGTTACATTACAAATGAGAAATCTTGTTGACATTATCAATTATACCTAAAGGAAATTTCAAATAAAATTGTTTTTTTTTTTTCTCAATTAAATATTTTAATGCATAATTTAATTTATTTTACTACTTGTGTTTTATTTATTTGTGTCCTTTTTTTCTCTCTTTTTTATTGTAACATTCTTAGGATTTCTAAAAGGGGGGAAGAGAAAGGAAAATATTTTTTTGGGTTTCAAAGTTTAAATCAAAGTTCTTATGACAACAATAATATAATTTTACTTTTACAAGAAGTACTTAAAAGAAATACACACATATTTTTGTATATTGAAAATTATATTGAAAATTAATAAAAAACAAATTTTAAAAGGTAATTATTTATTTTGCAATAATAGATTTTAAGTTATTATTTATAACATATCTTAAAAAATTATTTTAATTTTATATATTAAACTAGTTGGAAAATTTTTGATAATGTAATGTAAAAAAAAGTCGGATTATTCAATATGGATAATTTTGAAAATGACTTAAAAAATATTGAGACCGATACAACATCAGGTTCTCCAATAACATCAATTGATAATACGTTTTCGGACAATAATGGTTTGTTATGAAAAAAAAAAGAAAAAAATTCTTATACACTTACACTAGAAAAATAACGTAAATATGGCCGTCTACCAAAATGCAGAAATCAAAATTGACTTAAGGTGAACTCATTGGTTCGTCTCACGTGCACCGAAATAATGCACACGCATATATTTTATATGAAAAATTGAATTTCTCATTTTCTATATTTTCTGCGCAGCTATTTTTTTCTCTCTGAAAAAGTTGAATCAACTTTAGTACGGAGGTTTTTGTGACATAATTTTAAAAAAGTGACGTGAGTTTAACATTTTCACAAAAATAAACAAAAATAAGATCAGCACTTTCAGACGAGGCCATGAACCATTATAAGAGAAATGGGAGCGTCTTTAAAAGTAGATCGTTCTAATATGCCATAGATATGAATTTACCTTTATTCAATAATTGAAACATCATTGCTGGATAAGTCAAGTTGATGTTACATCTGTATTTTAGTAGAAGCCCTATGTTTTAGTATTAATTTTTTTTAGTAATTAGGATTTTCACCACAAATACCGTTATTTTTTTTTGAAATTCACTACAAGTTTTTGTTTAAAAATGTACGCTTACATTTTTGTTTTATTATTTTGAAATTTTCAATAACAATGAATAAATTATACAATGCATTTGTACATACATATATATGTGTATATGTAAATAATATTTTGAAATTTTTTGCACATATTCTGTCCTATTTTTTTATTCTCCTACAGTGTGTTTTATTTAATTTCTTACTTCTCTGTAATAATTTGGTATAAGTATATGAACACATTAGTTTTAATGAAACACAGAATAATTAAATAGGGTGACCAGGGAAAAATGAAATAATTTTAAATTAAGTAGATACTGCAATCAGAAAATTTTTATGGAATAAAAATATTTATTTAATATTTTAAGAAAAATGTAACTAAATTCAAATTCGTAAGTATCTAAAACATTTTAAAAATAAAGTAAACCTGTAAAATGAAAATTTGGTGAGAGGACTAGAAATACAAATTTTTGACTTTTTATTAATTTAAAGTTTTAATCTGGTCATCCTATAGGTACCCTATTATAATACCCAATATAAATGTGTACTTTTTCCAATTTCTTTTATTTTCCTTCATGGTGTTTATTATAAATTAATTATTCTAAATGCAGACAATTATTCTAATTTCTTCGTCTTTTATTAAAGTCTTTATTACTAACTATAGTTTTGATAGTAACAAACTATTCTTTCAAATATTATTTACAGTTCGAAATCGTGTAAGTTCATGGTTAACTGAAATTGTTGGAGAAGTGCGAAAAAAGGGTGCCTCTGTTTCAATACAAAATTGGGTAGATAATTCGAATACTTCATTGGAATGTTCCACTTCAGTTAATAATGAAGACAATGAAATTTGTGATAATACCATTGCTCAAGAAATTAAAAATTTAAAATTAGATGAAAATTCTGGTGAAAATTCAATCGACAATAATTTAAAAGTTTCAGAAAATATAGAGAAGGATTTAAAAACGGATGTAAAAACTACAATAGAATCTGAAAATAGTATTCCACCAAAATTTTGGAATAAATTCAGTTTTGATAGAGGTTCAGTGATTCAAAATCGAAATTCAAATTATACTATCGACAAAGTTTCACAGATAAAAACGTTTAGCAAAACTAAATTTAGTGAATTTTATGAAAGAGTAAAAATTAGCAAAGAAAAATTACCAATATTGGGGAGATCTCCATCAACAATGGACGAAACTTTAACAACAACATTGATAAAAAGTAGCAACGAGAAAAAAGTAGATGAAAATTTGATTGAAAATTTTGAAAATCAAAAAAAAGACGACGTGAAATTAAATGAAAATGTACTTGGAAATGAAATAAAAGAAAATAAAATTTTGAAACATATTCAAAGCTCAACTTCCATATTTGAGGAAAATGAAAATAGCAAAAATAATGATATTGAAATAAACTCAAATGTAAATATTTCAGAAGGAAATAACGAATCTAAAGATCAAGGTGAAGATAGTAATTCTGTTTTTAATAATTTTGAAGAAAACGTCTCTCAAAAATATTCAAATATTTCAATAGATAAAAAAGCCGTCCCCGAAAATAAACTTAAAATTTCATCAAATGAAAATGATGGTAGAACTTCGTTTACAAATTTTCGAAGGAATTTAAAACTCGGTATTTTGGGAAGATCAAGTACCTTGAATCCAAAATATTATCCTGATGACGATAATAATAGTTTAAAATATGAATTTCCTACCAGTTCATCTTTAGTGACACCCATTGATGAAGAACAAATTTTAACAACTCCTACATTTGTATCATCAACACCAAGCTCAAAATCAAAAAAACGGCATTTACCATTTAGTGCAATATATCGAAGTTTTAGTGAGCAACAACCAGATGTTATTGATGAATCAGAAGAATTTCTTAATGAAAGATCTCATAGTTGTTATCAAGTTACTGACGGTCAAGATTCTGATAACAGGGAAAGTAAAATCAATAATGAACCTGCGGAAGCTGTAAATATTATACAGAATATAGGAAATAAAAGAGATGATAAAAGTAATATCAGTACTAGCTTACCTACTTTCTCAACAGCAAGTATGATGCAACATATAAAAAGCTCTCGCAAAGCAGAAAATAATAGTACGGGAGGTAGTTATGGTGATTCTTCTTCATCATTGTGCATGGACATTTCACCTTGTGGTTCAGGTAGTGGCACTAGTACAAGTGATCACCGAGAACTCTATTTGCGTCGCAAAAGTACTTTTCTTCGGGATAATTCTTATCAATCAGATTCAAGTCATTGTTCAAGTGTTGACAGTTTACTAGAATCTAGAAAACCAGATCCAGAAACTATTTTAATTAATTTAGGTTTTGGTCCAATAGATTCAGAAGATATTTTAGCAAAAATACCAAAAAGGTAATTATTATCTATTAAGGCATAATGAAAATATTATATGTATTTTTATTTTCAAACATTAGATTTTTGAAACCATCCCAAGTTCGAGGAATAGATACAGAAGCTTTTTTAAGAAGACAACAATTAATGAACTCCATTCACGATCATAGTGTACTTGGATATCGTGGTTTAATTGGTAAGTGTTATTATGTTTTTCTTTTTCTGGAACTAAATCATCACAATCTTGCTTAATAAAATAAAATCTATAGTAAAAAAGAAATTAATCTATGTAATGAAATTAATTCTATGTTATTTGTAAACAAATAAAAATTTTACAGATCCTGAAAAAGCCTATATTCTCCAGAGATTTCGTGTTCATAAGAAAAATTAGGATTTGAACACAAATATAATGCAAAGTATATTTTAAAATGTTTGCTAAAAATAATGTTTTTTATTGTTGGTTTTTTGAGTGCTGCAATGCAATTTATAATTCGTATTTATTTTCTATATGAAATATTTAACCAAAACTATTTTAGTTTTTTTTTTTTTCTTTTTTGTGCAATTATACAACTTATTTTTTTTTAATCATTTTATGGTATTCTTTGTTGATTACATAATTAACTTCGCTTTATGCAAATCAGTTTTTAGTTGATTTTTTTTTATTTTTACAATTCTTTTGATGTTGTGTGCAATATTTGTTTATTAAATTTTATAAAAAAGAATATATTTTAAAAAATCATTTTTCCTTAGGTAATCCAGACATTCCACCATCAGTTATAGTTGCTAAAATAATGGAACGTTTTGAACAGAATGAAAGAAATCGTTGGAATTTTTACGAATATAATCGACCATTGTCTGCACCACCTAATTCAGTGGAAATACAAAAATTTCATTACAACACTTAAACTACATTAAACAGTAAATAAATAATTAAAGCAATATAATTTATTTAGGTACATGCTTTTATCTGAATTATATGCATGTAATGAGAATTGAATAGCAAAAAAAAAATTTATTAAATATAAAAAACACATTGTAATATATGTAAATCCTATATACTGGGAAAACAATATGTAATATGTTAAAAATTGTATTAGACTTAAACTAGAGTACCTATAAACTTAACAAAAATAATGATACATTTTCTTAATATTACACTCTCACCATTTCGAATCTTAAATAAATATTATAATGTATGACCAATATTGAGACTTGTACAATATACAATATTTTTAGGTAAAAACTATATTTAGCTTTTAAACTTTTAAAATTTTATAAAATGTTTTCGAAAGGTTTCTAAAATATTTGTTAAACATTTTTTTTTTTTATTACACTTTCTATGGAAAATCTTTTGCATTTTAAAATTTTGTACTGTGGATATATTTTTTTATGTACATATTTTCTATAACAGGTTTTAATATTTATAACAAATTTAAATACATATTTCTAATTGACCCCTGTTTATATACGTACTTACAAAAAAAAATTAATAAAAAAAATTTAACTTTATTAAAGAACCCATAGCTTAAGATATAACTAAATAAAATCTTCTACATATTTCAATTTAATTTAAATAGTGAAAGTAATAAGGTATAAGATATCAGAAGAAGAGTCTTTAAGATATCAAAATGTCTAAGGTAAAAATTCTTTTAGAATGAGAAGAAAAAATTGTTTTACATAAGTACCTATTTCATGTTGCTTTTAATTGGATATATAAAAATTGTAAATTTTATTTTCCTTTTTAATTTTAAAAGTAAGATAAATATCTTGCATTTCAATAGTATTTTATTAGGTTTAGGTCATTTAAGAAACAAAATATTAAACAGAATGCTAAGTCCTAATTTGGAGGTATTCAAAGCTTTACTAATTCTTTTATATAAGATGTAAAGAAATCTTAAACATGGTTACTAAAATTTTGATCAAAACCATTTTTAAACGAGTAAAATTAAGAAATTTTTTCAGCTAATATTATACAAATACATTTGAATTTTGTAATTATTGGAAAATCATCAATTAATATCACATATTGCACTACTATGCATGAAGTAAAAATGAATATACAGAGTTTTTATTTCTACGTAAAATTTATAACTACTCACGAATTAAGTTTTAATAAAATTTACATGGAAATATATTAATGAAAAGCTCAATTTTTTAATATCTTATCAACATTCTTTCAATTTTTAATTGCATTATCAATATTAAAAATTAGCTTAATATTAATGTAGTTATAGTAAAACATATCGAATTTGAATAGACAAATATTCTTAATTATAAAATTTTATATAATAATAAATAATGAAAAGAACAAAATAATGATTAATAAGAATAAATGAAGCATATATTCATTTCAAATTGGCAGTTCGTTCTACATTTCTTTTTAATTAGAAGAAAAGTGTTTTATATTGTACAAAAATAATTTAAAAAATAATTTTAGTTATAAAATCTTTGTCCATATTTTGAAAAACTTGTGATTAAATTAAAATAAATAATTGAACAAAAAAGTAAAAAAAAATTGATTCATTATTTAAAAATTAGTTTTGTATTAGTTTTAATATGTATAATATTTATAATCTAAAGAAATGTAAATATACGTACAAAGCATGTAAGATATTATTTCCTTAATTTGAAAAATTTTGGAAAAGGGATCAAAAGAATTTATTGCAATTGAATAGAACGATAATATTAACTAAAAGAAAAACTGTGTACATACATACATTAAAAATATATGAGAAATTTGATAATACAATTTAATTTTCGATTCTTGTTATATTTTTAAGCAAAACAAAAAAGAAAATTTTATTGCTAAATTGTTTAACATATTTAATATTTTAAAATTCATACATACAATGTATACTACAGTAGAATATCACGGCCTAAAGGGTTTTTTTCTTAAAGTGTTAACGTTAAGTTGAAGGAACCAGCGGATTAACAAATAAAAAGGCGAGTTCATCGCCACAATTCGCAAATAAAATAACCAATTCAATTTAATGTAGAAGGTAAAATGTCTTGTTTTAAAATTTTGCATTAAGGTATGTACTTATTTGTTTTGTAATGTTGTTATTTTTAATTTTATGGAAATTTGTAAAACAAAAAGAATAAATAAATATTTTACCAGATTTTATTATTGATAAAATTTAAAAAAATGTTTCTTATACAATATTTTTTTAATTATTTTTTCCTTTAATTAATATCCTTTGATTAACGGCGCCAATGCCCAATTTTGGTTAACTTCCAAATCCTTGTGTATAACAGCACCGTCTTTATCGCACACTATAACATTATAAGTGGACAAAGATCGGCAATCTCGATAATAAAGAACTTCCATACATTTTTTTATCTGAAATAAATTGTTCAAGGTTTAAAGGTGAAGTTCTCATAATATTTTTAAGTTGACAAATTTTGAATTAATGAATTGCTTACCAAGTCTAAAGCTGTTTCTTTACTTGGAAGAGTTTTACCATCTAAATGTTCTCTTAGTAAGGGGATGGCTATGTGTTTACCATATCCTGTTGCGATAGCATAATCTTCATAAGCTCGACCACGTAAATCTACATGTCCTAAGAATGGTACTCCATCTTCTAAACCCCCAATCACCATATCTACCCAAAGCGGATTAAACCAACTTCTTCTATAATATTGCAACCTTATAACCCATGTATACAAAGATTTTGGTTTAATAACAATGTCATCATCATAGCATATATCTTCAACTATTTTGTCATCTATTAAACGTTTTATGAATTGAAAATCTGCATAATCTCCTCCAGCACCAATCACCGTCTTTGGATTGATTTCGAAAACACGTTGCACATCTTGGAATCGTGCTAATGATCCATATGATACGAGATTATCAGCAGCAATGATTACTCCTCCATCAAATTTTATACCAAGAACTGATGTTCCAGTAGCGATTGGTTGTCTAATAATAGATGATTTATTTAAATGTGAACATAACGCGTTACTCGTAACTGAATTAAATTTTTTTTTGTTCATGTACTTACGCGCTTCGTTGATTTCCATAATCCCCTGTATTTGAGCTTGCACTGGGTGCTTTAGATGGAAAATTATATTCTTTTCCAGGGGTTGGTCCATTATGCCACAATGGTCTTAAAAATGAATCTTTAATAGGCATCATTTTTATTTAATTTGCTAATATTAATAGGGTTCAATTTTTAATAGTAAGTAAAAAACTGCAAGTTGTTTAATATTACAAAATGTCAAAAATCGTGATTTCTAAATTGCCGATACAAAATGTCAAGTATTAAGTGAATTGTAGTATTGCCATAGGTCGGTCACATTGAAAAAATTAAATACTGTTTTTGAAAAATTTTTGAAATATTGATTTAAAAAATTTTTAATTGTATTGATAGCAAGCAGTTACATCTTATTAATAAGAAATTATAGTTCTTATGTACGCCTTTTAACTTAGAAAAAAACTGCAAACAACACATTGCTCTAAATTCAAAACTTTGTTAAATTGTTATAAATATTTCTCACACAAAATTCATTTAATCTGATTTTCTTCAGCCTTCCAAAACTGCCCTAAGACATAGGATTTATGTTATAATATACATATTTAATAAACCTAATTTAGTTCTGCCTTGTTCTCAAACTAAAAGACATTATTTGTTTATACATAATATCATTTCTATTTTGATCTATAAGTACCAAAAAATTAGTTTAATTTGTAATAAATTTTGTTTTGTTTCCTCGTTGATAGTCGCTTTATTTGTAGATTTATGACAGTAGATGTCTCTACGGGCCATTTAATGTCACAAATGGCAACATTTGCAATATAAATTTAATATTTTCAGTGGAAAACAGATGATAATGACTTATTTGCCTAATTTCTATAAAATTCCATACAGCAATACATTTACGTACTACACAATAAAAAATATCTTCATGACTTAAATGACACCTTAAATTTTTATTTTGATTATAACCAAAAAAATTTCTATCTTACAAGTTACTTATAAAGATGTCTTCAAAAATATTTACTCCAACTAATCAAATTAAACTAACAAATGTAGCAATTGTACGTTTAAAGAAGGGCGGTAAAAGATTCGAGATAGCTTGCTACAAGAACAAGGTGGTTTCATGGCGAAATAATACGTGCGTTATTACATTTGAAAATATCGATCTGCAAACTATTTTTAAATTTTAATTGTAGGGAAAAAGATATTGATGAAGTTTTACAAACTCACACAGTGTTCACAAATGTTTCAAAAGGACAAGCAGCAAAAAAGGAAGAGTTAATCAAAGCGTTTGGAAAATCAGATGAAACGGAAATATGTAAAGATATTTTAGCTAAAGGTGAACTTCAGATTTCAGAAAAAGAAAGACAAACCATGTTGGATTCCACATTCAATAGTGTAGCTACAAATATCGCTTCATTATGTATTAATCCTGATACAAAACATCCTTATTCAGTGTCAATGATAGAAAAATTTTTGAAAGATGCTCATTTTTCCGTAAAGTTCAATAAAAATGCTAAACAACAAACTCTCGAAGCAATTAAATTACTCAAACAAAACATCCCTTTGGAGCGATCCAAAATGAAATTGAAAGTAACTTATCCTGGCCGCGAAGGCTCAAAAAAATTGAAAGAATCAATAACAAAATTATCAACTTCAGTTGAATCTGAAGAATGGGATGATGATACATTCGTAATTGTTTTGTTGATAGATCCTGGAAATTTTAGAAGCATAGATGAACTAGTAAGAAATGAATCCAAAGGAAAAGGTTTAGTGGAGCTTTTGGAACTAAAAGAAGTTGTGGAAAATGAAGAAATATTTTAGGTTATTTATTTTTATGATATTTTTGTAATTTTATTTATTATCGGATGTATCATTGCAACTTGACCTTTAAAAATTAAAATATGTATTGCGAAAAACTGCCATTGTCGTAAAATTTTTTTTAGTCTTCTGGCAAATTGCGTACGTATTGCGGCTTATGTGGATAAAGTATAAGGAAGCTATTGTATACATCTAATTAAAATACACAAATTTTTGTTATTTACAATCAATTCATATATTATTATATACATACCTAAAAATATAATAAAATAAAAAGTTTGAAATAAAGAAAAAATACCAGTATTGTTTTAAAAACATGCAAAATTATTCATAGACCCTTATATAAAATATATATAAATAATCTTTTAAACCATATATTAAATATAACTATGTATGTAGATATATTATTTATATTTAATATTGTTTTATTTTTTTAAATAATTTTTCTGGTAATGTTTGAAGACAACAATTTTTGGCTATAATATAATTTCATTTTTTTATAAAAATAAAAAATAAATAATTATTACATTGATACAATATTTAACGTATAGTTTCATAAAGGACACATATAAACAACTTTTATGATTGCATATTATTTCAATATTTTTGAAAATTTCACTATTAAAAACCACTTATGTAATTTTAATGTTTCCTACGTACACTCGTATATCGTTCATATTGACAAAAGCATAATTTAAAATTTCACTTTAAATCTCAGTATTTCAATTCAAAAATCCAGTTATTATAAGTAAATTTTTATATTTTAACAATAAAAAATTTCTTTTCTAAAAAATTTTATGTAACTTACTTCAAGTTTGAATTATCCTATTCATAATTTTTTATCTCACAAATTCATAGAAAAGTAAATAAAAAGTTTGATGTAAGCGATTGATTTATGCTCACGAGGTAATTTTTTCATTATTTCACAAATTCAGATATAATAATAAAAACACCTATTAAACGTATAAAACATTTAAATATACATCATTTCAGCCATTTCGGACATTTTTTTTGGTATATGAACAAATGTTTCAAAATAGCTAGCTAATTCATCAATGGTAACATCACAATTCGTTGTTGAATTTATTCTTGCCTGTTGAGAGCATGATGTTCCAGAATTATTATTTTGCTGTTGTTGTAAAGTATTATTAATTGATCCACCTGTACAAGTTGAATGATTATCACCTTTTGAATGTTCATTTGAATCTATATCTTCGTAATAGTCGTTAAAAGTTTGAGCTTTATCCGCGTTTAAATTTAAGTCCTTTGATCGATTTTGTATTGTTGTAAATGTTTTTGATTTATTGTTTCTTTTCAAAGATGTATTTGAATTATTGCTACGTACAATATTATTATTATTATTGTTATTGACGTTATTTATAAAATTACATTGGTTTGAAAGAGTTTCACATTCTTCAATTAGATTTCGAAAATCTAAATATTTATTTCTTTTATATAAATTGTGTTTTTGTTCCCTTGTAATTCTATCGTTTTGAATATTGTTTATATTGTTAGATAATACAGGATTTTCATCTTCTAATCTTAAATTATCTAGACTTGGACAATCTGAAATGTATAACAAAAATTCATCCTCTCTCTGTATTGAACAATTACTTATTAATTTGTTATTGTGTTCGTTTCCCGTTAAATTATTTTTAGCTACAGATTTTGAAAGAGCTGCTGCTGCAGCCATGTTCTGCTTGACATGAAGACAGTTTTGAATTTTCTTTAAAATTGGATCTTTTAGTATGAATTTTTTCCTTCCAGATGAATTAATAGTAATATTCTTTGATTTAAATCTTGTTTGATTTATTATGTTTCTCTCTATTTGAGCTGACCCTTCTTTGACGTCTTTACTAGACAGTGACTTACAATATGTTATGTAACTTCCTAAAATAGATATTGAATACAATCTGAAAAAGAAATATATTTTAAAACTTACCAGTGCTTGAACTGCGACGACGACCATAGTTTGATGCTGGCAAATTGATATCACAACTACATTTTGGACCAAATATATCAATAGTAGAGGTTTTTTCAATACCTCTAGTAGCGAGTTTAGATTGATAAAAGAAAGGGTTTAAGGAAACAGGAAGATTTTCATCCGACAATTTGATATTGATTGGTGGTAAAACTGCGTTTTCGATTTCTAGCTTCTTAAGCTCTTCTGGTAATTCCATTGAATCCTCCTCAGTACTCATCTTTTATATATTTTTAATACTAAAATATTAAATATCGCCTAGTTAACAATGTTACGGTTAGTAAATAAACAGGTTTATTATAAATTATGAGCTACCTTGAAATATTTGCCTTTGAAGAAATTTATATTTAAAATTTGTCAAAACAGAATAAGCACAAAATGACCCTATTTAAATTGCGCTTAAATAGAAATTTACCTTTTTTATAGAAGAGCTATCATTCCTTATATTCTTTTATAAAATGTTTTTCCGCGTAAATTGGAGATGTTTTCTTTATCTTTTTATTCGTATTAGTTTTTAATTATCAATTTTTTTTATTTTTTCTGCGTACAAAACAACAATGAAATATCTAGAAATATAAGTAAATATGTAGGTACATAAATTCATCCCAAATGACAAAGAGAGAGCATTTTTGCATGAGAAGCATGAATAGTGTATTTTGATTCAGTGCTACCAACTAAACATATGGTACAAATTAAATCAGAGTTGAATATTTTTTTATTCATTTCATTAATCACATTTGTATTAAGTTTTTAGAGCAATTGCATATTTCATAAAATAAATAAATTGTCGAGAAAATTAGAAATTTACGAATTACTATTATATTTTACACAATTAATATTATAACATGTTGAAAATTCGTAGAATTCTAAATCTGTTGTTTGAATTTGTTTTATTTTTATGTGAAACTTTATTGTCATAGTTGAACCAAGTTTTGTATTCGCATTTCGGAAGTAATAATTAAAAAGTATGTCAAAATACAAATGTCATAAAAATAAAAAGTCAAATTAAAATCGTATGACGTTAGAAAAACAAAAGAGGAAGGACAAAAACTATTAAATTATTGTCAAATATTTTCATATGAAAATCGATCAAATATTAGGATTTTAAATTTTATAAAATATCAAATCTCGGCATTCGAAAAAAAAATAAATTATTATAATTTCTTATCGCTGATACAAAATTTCATCTGTCCAGATGATATTACTTTTGTAAACTTAGGTAGATTCCTCACACAAAGAAACGAAAGAAAAAAAAGAGGGCAAAATTTGGAATACAAACCAATATAGCTTTAGAATTTTAGAATTCATTCTCTCCAAGTAAGAATCACTATCGTCTCGTTTTACAAAATAGCAGGGTGGGCTAAGTGATTTTCATGGAGAAAATGACTACAGCAGAAAATACAATACGCTTTAGTGATCATACATTAGACAAAGCAACTAAAGCCAAGGTAACTCTCGAAAATTATTATAGTAATCTTGTGGCGCAATATGGAGAAAGAAAACAAAGGCTTGCTAAATTGGAAGCTCAATTAAAAGATGAAACGCTATCAGAATCGCAAAAACAAGAAAAACGTGCGCAACATGCGCAAAAAGAAACAGAATTTTTAAGATTGAAACGTTCTAGACTTGGTGTTGAAGATTTTGAAGCTCTTAAAGTAATAGGACGCGGTGCATTTGGAGAAGTTCGTTTAGTACAGAAAAAAGATACAGGTCATGTTTACGCAATGAAAGTTCTTAGAAAAGCTGACATGCTAGAAAAAGAACAAGTGGCCCATGTTAGAGCAGAAAGAGACGTTTTAGTGGAGGCGGACCATCAATGGGTAGTAAAAATGTATTACAGCTTTCAGGTATATATATACCTACACATGTTATGTCATTTTTAAAAGCATATTTTAATATAAAATTTTTCTTTGTTTTATGTGTAACTATAAAGGATCCGATAAATCTATATTTAATTATGGAATTTTTGCCTGGTGGTGATATGATGACGCTTTTGATGAAGAAGGATACCCTTTCTGAAGAATGTACGCAATTCTATATTGCAGAAACTGCGTTGGCAATTGATTCTATACATAAATTAGGATTTATACATCGTGATATCAAACCTGATAATTTATTATTGGATGCTAGAGGACATTTGAAGGTAAACTAGATAATATTGTTTTAATTCAATATATATTTTGGCATTAACTGTTTTAGCTCTCTGATTTTGGTTTATGTACCGGTTTAAAGAAATCTCATCGTACAGACTTTTATCGTGATTTATCTCAAGCTAAACCTTCAGATTTTATTGGAACAAGTGCAAGGTTTGTATAACGTGAACTTTAAAATATAATTTAGATTTTAAAAAATGAATTTAAATAGTCCAATGGATTCAAAACGACGAGCAGAAAGTTGGAAAAGAAATAGACGGGCATTAGCTTATAGTACAGTGGGAACACCAGATTACATTGCTCCTGAAGTATTTCTTCAAACTGGTTACGGTCCTGCATGTGATTGGTGGTCGTTAGGAGTTATTATGTATGAAATGTTGATGGGATATCCACCATTTTGTTCAGATAATCCACAAGATACCTATCGTAAAGTAATGAACTGGCGTGAAACTTTAATATTCCCACCGGAAACTCCTATATCTGAAGAAGCAAGAGATACTATAGTAAGATTTTGTTGCGAATCGGAAAGAAGGCTTGGTTCACAACGTGGTTTGGACGATTTAAAAAATATACAATTTTTCCGAGGTGTTGATTGGGAACATATTCGAGAAAGGCCTGCAGCTATACCTGTTGAAGTCCGTTCCATAGATGATACTTCAAATTTTGACGATTTTCCAGATGTATCATTAGAAATTCGTAAGAATCTGATTGTTTACAAAAAAAAAAAATAAAATGTCTTTCTTTTTTAGCTACTGCTCCTATGCCTCAAGATGGTGAAGTTCTTAAAGATTGGGTATTTATTAATTATACATTTAAAAGATTTGAAGGTTTGACACAGCGGAGCACTCCAGTAAAAAAATAAAATTAAAAAAAGAAAATTAAATGTAACAAAATGAACAATATTATGGTAACAAATACCTTTTAAATAAAATCTAATTTTAGTAAACGCTAAAAAGAAAATAAAAAAAAAAAGAAAAAAAAATAAAACAAATGCGCTATGAAAGAAATAAAAAAACATAGAAATTAATTGCTAATTATTAATGATAAAATTTAATTGTTCTAGATAATTTTATTTTATTTGAATTTATATTTTATTTTTTTAATTATTAAACCTTAGTTATTTCTTTTGTTTGACAAGAAAAAAAAGAATGTTTTTTTTTGAAAGAAGAAAATACAAAAATAAATTGCAAATTATGATTTAATTTAAACTGAAATTTGTTAATATTATTTACTATAGTTTTATTTATTACTGTTTAATTTGAAGCTTTTTAACTTTTTTGAAACTATCTCTTTAATAGAGGTTGAGACGAATGAGTACTAATATTTTACAATTTCTTGAATCTATTTGAAATTATTTTTGATTGCAGAAAATTTCAGATTATGTGGTTATAACTTTTTCAACTAGTTTGGCTCACAACTCAAAATATGTACATTTAGTTTAAATAGTTTCGTGAAGTTTATAGGCATAATGGAAAATTTATGGGACTTGGTCTAATGTCAAAATTTTTCTTATATGAAAGTTTGAATCTAAATCATTAGCTCTTATATGTACATCTTTCGTAAAAATTTCGCTCCCAAAAATTGTGTTTCAAATATGTAAGTTAAAAAATATAAAATATTTAATAAATTGTGATAGCATGTAAAATGTACATGAGGGTAATTCGGTAAATCTATAATTTTGCCTAATCCAGTTTAATTAAAGACATTTCAATAAAACAAGGGGATATAAAAATTAGTTGATTTGAAATTTAAATGATAGAAGAAGAATGGGAACTAGTCAGGAGAAACAAGGCTTATAAAGGAATACATCTACATTCAAAAATTTCGAAATTGTAAGAGAGTATTTAAACTAAATTATATTTGTTATTCTAATAAATAAAATTATAATATCCGAATATTCTAAAATAAAATTTATTTCATTTAATGATTATACATATTATGTATTTAATGAGTAGATAAATTATTTTATATTGCATACATATATTATTATACATAATATGTTATTTTAGAGCAGTCCAACATATTTATTCTTTTTTTAAGTAACATTTTCATTTTCAAAGTCAATATCTATTTATACATATTTTATAAATAATTTACTTAACAAGTTATTTTCCAAAGATAACAAATTTTATTATAGTAAAATATACGACATATGTATGTATGTATTTTTTTTATAATATAATTTCTAAAACAGAAATTTCAAATCACAGACATAAAAAAGTTCTATTACAGAATTATCTAACTATATTATTAAATATGGAATTTGGTTTTTATTCAGCTTTTTTGATCTGAATCGAAATTTTTCTTACCTTATAGATATTATATACATATATTTTATTTTTTGCACTACATATATTGTATGTAAACAACGACTAAGTATCTTCCTTCTATACCACGAAAAAAATTTTTCTCTTTTAAAGGAGAAATAAATTTCGTTTAATTATTTTCGAATATTACAAATTTTATTTAATCAAGGTACTTAAGTTGACTTTATAAAAGGTACTTTTTACTTTAAAATTTTTAAAAACTCCTTTTTTATTTTGTCTATGTGGCAATCTTTTTTCTTAATGTGATTTGCAATCAAATCCAAAATTTATGAGAAAACATTTCAAATTAAATACATATAATATTTAAATTAAATAAATAATATATTCAGAAAGCACATAAAATGGACCATAAAAAGGGTTATTGGTTCTTTAATATTAGAAATTAAATTTTATAAATTTTTCAAATATATAATTAATATTTATGCAATTAAATTAAGTGATTTATAAAATATTTCGAATAAAAAAAAATAATATGAACAGAAATAGTAATGTTAGCTAATATTTATCGATATGTTACATGCATATAATATACGTATTCTACACATAATCATAAATAGGTTAAAAATGTTTTAATATAATAACTTTTCAGATTTCCAAAGTTTTTTAAATTTTGTTCTAATACTCGTAATGTTTGAATTTTATTCAATTTTCGTATTTTTAATCTCTAAATAGAATAACTTATTATAATTATGTAATAATGAAAGTATGCACAAATTTAATATTTAATACGATTATCTTGCATTATTAGTGCAATTTTTTTATTTTGTACTCAACATTCATTTCATATTACACTTAAACATTCATTATAGAAATACACATATAATAAATATGGTATGTATATTAAATTTATTTTTATTTTTTCTTTTTTTCATTCCAAATTCTATATTTGAGTTTTATATTTGAAATAATATGTAAGTGTTTTTTTTTTGTTTTATTTCCTTATTAATCTATAAATTCTAATGCAATAGTTATTATTTTATATTTGTGCATTTATATATTTTTATTCATACATTACAATTATAATTTATACAAGAATTAGTGATAATTGTAGATTTTATAAAAATAAATACGTTCTCAGGTATAATTTTTTTTCTTAATTTGTGTGTACACTAGTATTTTATTTAATTATTACATAATAATTATTAGAATTGTGAATTAAATTTTAAATAATTTTGCTTATTTATCCAAATTGAATTTTAAGTATTAACTATTTATATTTATTTTATATGTAATAGTAATATTGTTATACAATATTTTAATAGAATTTTTGGCATTATCCTTTTTATTTTACATATTTATAGTAATTTCAAGGTTTACAAGGTTTAAGCAATGTTATACATTTAGTTACATTTACATAAGTATACTAAACCTAAAACAATATCTTAATGTATGACGTGCTGGGTATATCGTTGTAGGATGCAAATTTAAATGTAATATTAATATTCTAATATTAATTTAATGTTAATGTGTTAATTAATGTTTATTAATGAAACTAAAAAAATACAATATAGTTTTCAAAAAAAATAATTCAGCACTTCATTAAAAATGAAAATTTTATACAAATTCACGTACTGCAATTAAATCTAATGCAATTATAAAAATTCATTTTAATTAAAATAAAAATAAAAAGAGTAGTTTTAAGTTTAATTTTTGAAAAAAAAATTGAATTTTGAGAAACACTTGAATATTCGAAATGAATATTTGAATTGTTGAAAGAAAAAAATGTCCAAACCAACATTTTTTATAATAATTAATTTGGAAATCAAAGCTTTATTATAGTTTTCCAAATGGTTCAACCTAAACTAAGTTTTTAAAATTTGTATATTAAATCGTTTTTAGTTTGAGATTTTTTTTTTCAAAAAATGCTTGAAAAGTTATTTTCTATGTTCTTGTAAATTTTTTTATTGTATTAAATTGAATTTTGTTAATTAAATTAAAACGTAATATACATTTTTTTTATTCTTTATAGATTTTGGAAAATTCGTGCATTAATACATAAATATTATTTTAAGAATGAAGTAATTTATGCTGGAATTACAGCTTGCTCATAAAAGTCAGCTTCTTCACCTTTCTGTTGATTTCCGTCAAGCTACATATATAAAATAAATTTAATTTTTGATGTATTTATATTAATCAGATCAAATAAAAATATACCGCATTGATTTCTGCTTCAGTATAGAATGATGCCAATTTAATTCTTAATGGTACTAAAAGTAATAAGAAAAATGGAAAAGCTAATGAAAATCTTGAAGATTTAACAGCCCATAAAACACATAAACACGATAATTGAATCCCAGTAAATAAATGCATTTTCCATGTTGGAACTCTTTTAACATATGGAACTGGTGGGTGATGTTTAACAGGCATAAAGAATAACCATAATCTATAAAAATTTCGATATTATGTTTAACATTTCTATTTAATATAAATGTATAATATTTCTATTTAATCAACACAAACCTATCAAAAAATTGTACACCAGTCATGGAAGCAACACCCATATATAAGAAAACGCCAAAAAGTACAGCCATAGGAATAAGTCTTAAAAGTGGTGCCATATTTACAGATAAACCTATAAATATTCAATAAAAATTCAATTTTTATAATATGTTTACCATATTTTTTAGCTACCGATGAGAACAGCAACAAAAAATCCTGATAATCTTTGTTCTTTAACTTCTACAACAGTTGGAAGCTCTCCGGGTGCATGAGTCCTATTTAAAAAAGAAACAGTTTTAACAAATAACGATAATATTGGCCATATTTAAAATATTTTTACCTTGACATAACTGTTACAGCTGAAACGTGTGCAACCGAACGTACAGTTGCTGCACAGTGCCATGGAAATCCTAAACATCCACATAAAGCATTTAACAAACACAATAGTACAATATCAAAATGTAAACCGGAACCTTTTTTTAAACCACGTTCCGGTTTATCAACAATTAATTCAGATATATGAGTTTCCATAAATATCAAAATGTATACTAGTATAGCTGGAATTCCAGCAAATATACCAAAATACCAATTTGGTATATCCTCAAAATTAATAAGCCAGCTATTACGTGACGGATCTGTTGGTTGTAAACCATCAGGAACTGTTAATTTTTCAGTTTTTACTTGGGGTTTCATATAATCTATTGTTACAAATACAGCTATTGCTATTGGTACACCAAAATCTCCTAAAGCACGTCTAGCATTTCTGCCTAAAAAGTGTGAATTACGAAATTCTTTTAAATAGCTTGCCAATGCATATGTTCCCAATGTTAAAATTGTACAAAATAATGCTGTATTCGGTTTTGATATAGGTGCTGTCTTAATTTTTTTAATTGTTATTGTATTATTTAGTATAGTATAATCCGTTGTCCAAGACGATATAGGCGGTAGTAAAGTTGTTGTTGTTAACACAGTTTCATTAAAATTATCATATCGAAAATTAGTTTCATTATAAGAATATTTAACTAATAGTGGATTTTCGCAATAGACCTCATATAGTTTAGTAATCGTTTCTAATATATAAATTAACGTTATTAAAGCTGAAAATATTTCTTGCGTGAATCGTGTTAATAAACGTACGTATACACTTCCTTCAAAAGCGGATACAATTAAACTAATTATAATTAACCAAAAACCAACATAGGCTCTTATAGTTAGAAAATTTAATTTTGATTCCAAACAAAATTCGTATAATGCTTGATCGAATAACAATAACGGTCCTGTTGTACCAATTATTACCAATGGCTGACCAGCGAATGCATGGAATACTATTCCAACTAGTGATGCTGAAATTAAAGTTTCTGATATACCAATTTTGTCATCAGTCTTTTCAGATGCTAAGCCACCAAATGTTATTGCAGTTGATAAACAAGCGAAATACATAAAAACTGTGGCCGCTAATGTTTCTGAATTCAAACCGTCAACAATGTCACTTTTATACATTGATAAACGTAAGCGACGCTTCAAATCATTACGTAAACCGCCCCAACAACGATGTGTTTTTTCTAATGGTCCTTTTGATGTTTCAAGTTTCTTATTTAAATCATCATCAGTTAATTTAACTTCTAGACGTTTTTCTTCAGGGTGCTTTTTCCGATGTTCCGAAGCTTCCTGTACACGTTTGAAGAAATTGTTTTTTTCATTTTAAATTATTTTATCAAAAATTTTTTATATTTTCTTATCTTACCTTTAACTTTTTCTTTTTACGTGATTTAATCCAATCCTTCTTTTCTCGAAGTTCATCAAATGGTAAAAGATCAACTCGATCCCAATTACCAGGTGGTAAAACGATGGAATCATCTAGGAAGTCATTGATTCCATTAATTAAATCTTGTCGTCGATCTGCTTCATATGCTATTTCTAAAAAATGTTCATTTGACATTAATGTGGCTAAAGAACGACCAATTTCATTATAATCTAAATCTGTATATTTTGGTCCAAGTAAGATAAATATAAAGCGTACTGGTATTAACACTTCTGTAACACCTGGTAATGGAACACCAGATGATAAACGAACAAAAGCAACAGCATTATTATTTAAAAAATCAACTGAACCAATCTAAAAAAGATATAGTAAACTGTTACATATAACTGCATATCCAAATATGTAGTGATCTTAAACTTACTAAAACAGCAGTTGCTTCAGCTCCAACTGGTATTCTTTTTAATAATGAATCATTTTGTGCAACTTTGAAATCTTCAATAGAAGTTGATCCTATATTATTTATTTCAATTTTCATATCAATTGGACTTCGACTGTTACCATTGATTTCATTTCCATTTCCAAGTATAGATTTAATATTAGGCTCCGCTAAATTCTTTGATTTTTAATAGATTAATAAAGATGTTTTTTATTCTTAAATGTTTCAGTAAATGCTTAATTTTTATAGAGTATAGATACATATATGTTCGACTAGATCAATTTTTTTTTAAATGGAATGGAAATTTTAATTTATCAAATAAATTAATTGGAACTTTTAAAATAAACTAGTTCTATATGCATATAATAAACTTTTAATTGTATATAGTATTTTACTAAAATAAAATATAAAAATTAGGAAAATTGTTCGTTTTTTAATACATGTATATTTATAATATAATATTCTACACAAATATACAAGTAAATATATAAAAGGATATAATATATACGTACAAAAAAATATTTAAATATAATATAAAAGTGTTTATTATATATAAAGTGTGTAAATATGAATCTCCCCTTTGACAAGAGATATTTTTACAAATAGGCTATTTAACTAGGCTATTTAACGCAGTGGTAGGAAGTAACAATACCTTCAATCTCCTTAGATTGTCAAAATTTTTCTAAAATTAAATATATTTTTGTTACACCTCATTTTCAACAATGCAAAACTTTGTTCTTTATTTTCAGAATGGTTTAAAATGTACATGTTCATTCAAATGCAACTTGGAAATATTGCGTGGATTTATATAGGTTATTTAAATTCGATTTCAATTAGAGTAAAATATATCAATGTATGTATGTATGTAGGAAAGCAAATAATTTGTAACATAACCAAAATTTATCGACATATTAAATATTAATCGATCAACTTTTAATCGATCAACAATGGACTCGGTTAAAAAACAGGAGCAATTTTTTTTACCCACAACCACCCAGATGTAAATACAGCACATCAACTGACTGCAAGTGATATGTAAAACGAAAAATTGAAAATATGCATTGCAAGTGACATGTAAAACGAATATGTAATTTAAAATTTTTGCATAGAAAGAAAAGCAAGAATTATTTTTAATTTTACTCTAATAGTTACCAGATGGCACTTTATTCATTTTAAAGAATTAAAATGCCAAAAATTATAATTAAACAATATGGAATTACCGGTACTTTATACATAAATTTATTTTATTTTAATTTAATATTAATTACACCAAACAAGGTGCTTACATGATTTACAAAGAATGACAATATTATTATACAAAATTGGTAATTGGTAACAATTGGTATTATTATTATACAAGTTTAGTAACAGGATTCGACAAAATGTATCTACGCAATTATAGGAAAATATAAGTGAAGATAGAAGGTCCTGACCTTTTTTAGTATCTATAATTTTTATTTGAATGAACTTTAACAAATTGGTGGTCAAAAGTTGAAAATACCAACTGACTACGTAAATGATTATTAATGGCGATTAAAACTCCCTTAGATTAGCGTGTCGAATTATAGTCGCAAACCTTTCTATATACAGACCAAGTGTTATCAAGTATTTCTTCAGTTTTGAAAGAATTGTTTAACAAGGTTTCAGTGAAGATTAAAATATTAAAATTATTTTTCGAACTGCTGCGATTATGGTAAAACGTTACTGACGGTTTCATGGGACAAGTGAGCAATCCGCATCTACTGAAAATCCGATCTCTGAAGCTTAATATTTCGTTAGATTTCATATAGATAAGTATATACATTGTAACAATGCAAATTTGTAAAATTTTATTTTTTTTTTTAAAGACAGATAACAGATTCATATTTACACATTGAGTAATGTAAGTTTTTTTTTTAATAAAGCCTTTATAAGTTCTTATGTGTCGAATATAGGATAATTGGGCAGTATTATAAGTAATAAATTATTAGAATAAAATGTAAATAAAACGTAAATGGAAAAAATTAAAATGTGTTTTGTATACTATTTCAAACTATTTGTGAAAAAAACAATTTAGAGAAATTTTAAAAAAGTAAAAGCAAATTAAGATTTATTTCAAATTATTTAAGTGTATATAGGAACTAAGCAAAATATAATAATTATCAATTATTGTCAAAAGAAAATTTATATTAAAAACTAAGTTTCAAGTTATAATAAAAAACCAGGCTGCATAGAGCTATAACTTTTAAATTCATTAATACAAAATGTTAACTACAAAATACAATATTATTTTATAAAGATATTAAATAATTGTTCTATCATATATTCTAACCATTTATAGGGATAGGACAACATAACTATAATTAACATAGTAGATTTTCTTCTTGTCCTCTTTGTGAGGGTTATAGAAATTGTTTATATAAAATAAATAAAAGATTCAAATTTTATTCATGCAATGAAATAAATTTTATGTAAGATTTTCATAAAATTATCACATTTATATTGAATATCTTCCTAATTTTACTTTTTTTTAAATTGGCTTAGTTTATATGGTATGCTATGTTTGTCGAATTAAATATTATTTATTTGGTTTAAGAACAGTATTACTCGTATTAATGCATTAGTCAATTTTAATTTTGTAATAAAATCTTTCGTATTATTTAACTATTTCATAAAATAACCTCTAAATAAAATTTTAGGAGTAAAACTTTAAGAAGATAAGAAATAAAATGTATTGTGAATGTTGCTTGAATAGAGTAATTCGTCTGATTACTATACAACATTTTTCCTTTCTAACATTATATATAATTTGACGATTTCAGAAATATTGTCAAATAAAAAATAAATTCGCTTATATCTTTTATTTTAATATTTATAGAATTTTTCTTTAATAAAAATATTTTGAGCTCTGTGAATTTCAAGTTGAAGAAATTTCATTTTCGTATACATAAAAGCAACAATATAACTTGCGATTAGTTATTATACTTCCTTTAAATACTATCTTGTATATAAATATTTGTTAATTAAAGCGATTTCAATATACATTTGGTAATATAAACATGCTATATAATTTTTCATGCTATATATGGCTTTTTTTTCTCTAATTTTTTATCTTTGTTGCGTTAGAGGAAATTAAATTAAAATTATTTTTCAAATATGCAGTAAAATAATTTGTCTATAATTATAGAATGGTGAAATAATTTAACAAAAACAAAATAAACTTTTTTTATTATTAATGAATTAAATAAATAAAAATTATTAAAAAATAATTTCTAATTGGCAATTTGATTATTAAATTAACGAAATTTAATATCTATCATTCTAGCTATACAATAGCTACCATTAATAAAATAAAAAGTAAGAATCGAAATATTTTCAAATTGAATTTTTAACTATATTTAAGTGAAAGTGTTTTAATTTAAAAATATAAATTAAAATCAATATAAATCATTTTTAAAAGAATATAAAATAATTAAATAGAATTAAAATAATAAGCAGTTATAGAATCATTTACATAAGAATGCCTTCGATTAGGTATCTTTGGTTGTAATTGCACTTCAAATCCCTGTATTGAAGATATTGATGCTCTTGCACGATTATCATCTTGAAGCCATTGTAACTTTTGATTTTTGTTAATGTATATAATATGTATATAATATGACATACATAATATACATAAACAATATATATGTGAATTAAATGTTATATTTAAGCACATATTTTATGTTACGTATATACACGTTCATATACAGATGACATATGAATTAAAATTCAATAATAATAAAATTGAGAAAATGTTAGTATTATATAAAAGATTTTTAGCTTTAATTTAGAAAAAAAAAAAACAAAAAAAAAACTAAGTTTAAAATAATATTTTTGATTAATTTTTATATTTCTCTTTCATTATGAAGGTGAATTGAATTATTTAAATAAGATTACTATATACTCGTGAAATAATGAGGCATGTTATGAGTATCGAATCGCTAAGTGATATTGATAATTTATCATAAAAAGTTCAATATTATTATTTTAAACACAAACCAATTTATACGCAAATGATTCATGTGTACAGTAAAGTTTTTGAAACTTTTACGATAAATAAATCGCAATTCAATACTTAGAATATGCCCTAATGATAAAAACTTATGTAAGAGAGAAATGAGTTTATGCTTCGTCCTTTAATTAAAGAGTTAATGACTTGATCTTTTGTATGCAAATTATCTTGAGTTCAAATACGAGAATGAAATAATTTTAATTTATTTAAAAATATAACAAAAAAAAATAATTATATTTATAAAATATAGTGTATATGTGATATATATATATGTAAATAGTTATTCGACTACATATTATATAATTTCAAATATAATTCAAAATTTTACAATTTTATAAATTCCCTGTAGTAATATATCAATTTATATAATGAGTCAAAACGAGCTTGTGTAAGAAGAATACCTAATATCAAAGAATTAAAACTATTAATTTGCCCTAAATTTAATATAGCATTGTTTTACGTTTATTTAAAAATAATTTATTTTTTTTAATTAATGGTTTAGGTTATATTTGATATGCCTATATAAGTGTTCAATGAAAATATTATTTGTTGTTTTGTATATATTGATATATGATACATGTATAATTATAGCGTTACATGACTATTTCATTATTATGATAATTATTATGTACTATATATAATTTTATATAGATATAAATGTAATTTTTGATGAATAATTTATTATTTCTTATTCATTTATAAAATATAAAGATTAGTGTACTTAAAAATAAATATAACTATTATATATTTAATAATGATCTTGTATAAATGTATATAGGTACCTGTAAACTTGAATAACTGCTACATTTTTTCCGGCCAAATGAAAAACTTCCAGCTTTATTTTCATTAACATGCCTATGTTTTATTAGCATTGCTCTCATAATAGCTGGTTTTTCTTCTGGTGATATTTGATTTTCAATTGAAAGCTGTTAATTTTGTATAAATCAAATTAAATTTATGTAAAAACTAAAAATATTATGTTTTTTTTATATCTTATATATAGCATAATTAATGCTACATTTTTCCTTTCCTGGAAATTGATTTAAATATGAATTAAAACATATTTATAAATCAATTTTTTAAGCCTAGTATAAAATAAGCTAATACAAAGGTAATATAGTAGACGTACAAATTTGTAATGATTTTTATAATTCATAATTTAACTTCAATTCTTAATTATTAAAATACAGGGATACAGTAATACTTATGAAAAATGAGTCTCCTAAAAGTATGCAATTTTTATGAAAACATTTTAAATATTACATATTATTTTAAATCTTGTAAAACATTATTAGTTTATACACCGTATATGTTTCGTAAATATTTAGTTCCAACATAAATATGTATGTGAGTATATTGACATACATGACAGAATTTCATAATTAACCAAATAATAAACAAATAGGAGAAAAAATGCCATGATTTGCAAGTAAATATTTTTCCAAAATATTTACTTATAAATACAATAAAGTGGTATTTCGTAAATGTGTACATAGCACTTATTTATGTTCATAATGTGTAATATAAAAGTATAATACTAGAATATATATGAATATAAATAATAAAAAAGAAAATTTATTACCTGTTCAATAATCCTATATGTTATTGCTGGCAAATCATTTTCTTCTAAATCTAACATAAAAACACAAGTTTCAAGACATTGTCTCAAGTTCAACAAACTATGGAAGGATAATGTTGCCACATGAGGTCTACCCCAACGATCAGAACCCTCTTCAATATGTTCTTCATATTTAATCCAACGTGCTATTTCTTTCCATTCCATTGTATCATTATTTTCAATAAGCTCGTTAAGTTGAACAAAATTCTTTATATAAAAAATAATGGAAAAAAATTAATAAATAACTGTGAAAAAGGATATTATTTACGAAAATTTGTGTAGGTAGAATTCTATATATAACATAATAAATCTTTTTCATAAAATACATCATGTATTTTTTCAATTATATAAGATATTGAATGAAAATATAATAATAATTAATTTGCCTGCAGTTAAATATAATAAGAAATAATTGTTTTATTTAAATTTTCTATACCGAATAATTCATAGTTATTGTAAAATCAGAAATTAATTTTAGTTCATCAGGTTCAAATTATGATTATTCTTGGATGTCCAAATTGCGTGTATAGCCATAGATTAATAAAGGAAGCGATCAAGGCCTATAGTTGAATTCTTTCCAAATCTCGAAAGAAAAATTTATTAAAAAAAGTTGATAGTAATCTTAAATCTAGTTCACCTTTTCTTTTCAATATAGTTTTCAGAAACTTTAATTTCCTCGTCATTACTAAATTTCAATTTCCGAAAGAAATTAATTAAGGTCCCGGAAGTTTTTTTTTTCAAACAAAATTAATTATTTTTTCAATAGTAATAAAATTGAGCTTTTCATTAAATTGTTGACTAAAATTTTTTTTTTATATATTTTTAATTGTATTAAAAATGATGTAAACAACTTTTTTTTGTAAAAATATTAAAATTTATTGAAAGTGGTAAACACCCTTTGTGTATACATAAAACGTAAACTATAAAAATAATTATTTTAAATTTATATGCGTACAAATATGACATGTTTATTAAAAACTAATCAAATATTTCAGTTTCAAGGAGAATTTCATAAATACTGTTAGTAATTATTTACTAAACTCACGTACATTCTATTCTCTATTATGCCTATCATACCTATACATACATGTATATGGTTATAATTCGTATTATATTCCGTATATTTTGTGTATGTGTATAATACGATGTACGTTGGGTAGAATTTTTTATCATTTAAAGCAATTTTATTTTATTTTATTGATTAATATTCAGTTCAAAATATAAATATCAAATTTTATTTAATATTCAAAGAATTTAATTGTTTTTCAAAGTCCGTTGTCGAAAAGGTATAGTAAGTGCAAAGGTCCGCTGGTATTTTTTTAATTTACAAATATTTAAATAATATTTTAGTGTCAAAACGTATGAATTAGTCTAAATTAACGAAGTTGCACGCACATTAATTAATTAGCCTCAATTTACTAGATTTTATTTCTGTTTCTAACTAAACTAAAAGGAAAACTTTTTAACTGAATTTTAAAACCGCTTATTGTGTTTCGTGGAATCATTTTACTGCAATACTGCCAGTGATTATTGATTTCAATACATAGCCTCGCATAATCATATTACTGTAAAGAGCTGTAGGCTTCCAAATTTTTTCGATTTACAATCGTAGTGTCTTGAACATACTCGTACAAATAAAATGCATACATGAAACTTTTCAGTGCAAGAAATTTGATTAATTTAATGTTCAACTGAAATTTAATTATAATTATTATTTAAATGGAATCAAACGAAAAGAATACCGGCATGAAACAAATTTATACATATATATATTTGTAATTATATTAAGAGATTGAAATTTACAATTATTTATAAAGTCACGTTTCTCTAACTTTCTACTGTCTTTTTATATTTTTTTTGAGTTTATACATTAGAAGTATAATTTTGTATATAATGTTTTTGTGTGAAATATGAAAGGTATGAATAAAAGTACAGAGTGTTGAATAATTTAATTTTATTATATCAAAAATTACAATGCTATTAAAAAAGAAATTGTAAGGAAAAAATAAACTTTTGTCTAAAATTTAAAGAATTTTCTTATTATGAATGAAAATCATAAAATGAATGTAATTTATTCGCAAGTGGTTTACCACAGTAACGAGCCTGGTCCTAATAAAAAGCCGTTTGGGCTTTCCAACTTCCAACAAGGATTTTGCTTTAATTTTTCGTTACATGCCTTTTATGTTATTAATACACTGGGTCACCTATCCACTACAACTTTTGTAATAAAGTGAATGGTATAAAACATGTAACATGAATAGAAATAAGTAAGAGTTTACGAAAAATCCTTAATAATACGTTTATTTTATTGACTACGTATACGCATATAAAAACTTTTAAAATTTAACATTTTCGCATATCCTTTTTGTCGTTTTCCCTCATAAAAAATTCATTTTTTATTTATTGATTTCTTATCTATTTGATGGTAGTTTAGGTATAGGTAAGTTGTACAAAATTTATTTCATTTTAACAAGAATTTTGTGAGGATATTGATTATTAAACTTGATTCATAACATAAACGCAAAAAAAAAACAAAAATTTTCATTTCTTTACATTGAACTTGAGTATGAAATACAAGAAAAAAAATTATATGCTCAATTTAGGAAGAATATAGATATTTTCAAGGCCAATAAATATTGAAAAAGAAAGTAATGATTTTTTTTTCATAGTAATGTGTAACTTTGTCGTAACTCTATTATATTGAATCAAGGGACGTGAAGAAATCAACAGAGTTTATGAGATAAACAAGACACTGTATCTTCCAGGGCAGTGTGAGGCTGTCTTGAGATGCTCAACTAATTGTGTAAATGACGAAAAAAATGTTGGTGGAAGGAAATTATGGAGCCTATATGTTAGCGACGAAAGAGGCAACCACACGCCTTCTTGATGCGGAGCCCTTCTGTGTAATCGGTTCGTGAAGAATTAAGAATTGAAATGGAGAATTCCAGGAAGATTTCTCGCCGCTGGAAAGTGGGAGCACTTGCAGATTTGTGCGGAGGATCAGGAAATTTCAGTGCACCTTCTGGTAGATTATGAGATTTCTTAGAGACTTTCTGGGAGGGAAATTCTGGGGAGCTGCGTACTCACTCCGTTGAACTGCGGTCTGTCGAATCTTTTCAGATCCTCGAATTAAACTTGATTGGTCTCGGTGTAGAGTATGTAAAGTTTAAAGAGCTTAAAAACTACCTCCATATAATAATGTTTTTGTAATCTTATAGTAACCATGACGGAACTTTTTACGAATAGAAATCAATCAATTTTTTTTTATAGACACGTTGTAACCGTATATCCGTTTGCAGGTACCTGAAATATAAATTTGATTTTTTATATGAACTGAATGTACCATAAAATTTCTTTTGAACATCCAACATTTTTTTTATAAAATGACACACATATACAATACACACACATTATACTCGTATAACCTTTTTGTATAACAAATACCGTTTTGAATTCAAATAATATCGAATGATATAACAACCTTGTTAAGGAAGAGTTTGATAGATTATATTTGTTTTTTTTTGAAAATGTTCATAAATAAACTCAATTCTTTCGGAGAAATTTTCGTGTGGCACAAAATGTTATATGTGCTCATATGAAACAGATTTAATTATAGATTGAAATCTTCTTGGTTTTTTGGTTTTTTTTTTGATCCTTAAGTATATAATTCATCAATAAATTCAAGTGATATGTACATATATATGTACGAGTATTGACATTCATTGAAAATTACGCATTGCGTTGTGATTTTATTTCACATTAAAAAAAATATAATATTTTGCATATAGTGATATTATACATCTTGTAGGAGGCATATTATGTGGCAATAATGTAAATTAAACTAATTGAAATTTCAATCTTTAATCTTTAATAATTATATAATTCTTGTTTCAAAAGTATCTAATTTCAAAAATAAATCTTGAAACTTATTTACTTTTAATATAAGATTTTCGGAAAGGATAATTTAACTGGCATATAAAAATTCGACTGGAAGGGTTTTTTTCGGTAATAAAATAAAATTAGATTACTTGCCGTAAGAAAACTCTTAAGGTGGGTTTATAAATTTTTTTTCTTAATTGGAATAAACCACTTTGATGGGGCCCAAAATCGCACTGTCACCTCCTAGTGGTGGGCCCCGGTAATGGCGGAGGATAAAGAAGTGATTGAAACGATCAAAGTTACGTTCGTGTCGTGGTCATGTCTCGCGGCGAGCCACTTACTTTGTGAGTTTCAGCCCTATATCTATACGTCAGCTGACGACAGGCGTCCCAAGTCAAGGTGAAACAGCATATGCCGATGACTGCGTGGCTAAGGGGGAGCTTAGTCGTTAATATGCGGACTCTGGATACCAGGCGCCCTCCAGTTTAAACGAACCTTAACATGGTATGCCGGGCTCTGCCATGGGTGACTTTACTTTCCCGTGCTATTCGTGGGACCAAAAAATGGAAAACATAAACAATGACAGAAAAAACAGCAACAACAAGAACAACAACTGTGACAAACACAACAACTGCAATAACAATAACAACAACAACAACAACAACAACAACAACAACAACAACAACAACAACAACAACAACAACAACAACAACAATAACAACAGTGACAATTACAACAACAACAACAATACTAAGGACAACATAAACCCAGTTAGTGCTCAAGGGTCTTCGGAACCAGAGCTTCTCTCGACTGACGCAGAGGAGGAACTCCTTCTCACGCCAGTAGAGGAAAAGGCGGCGCCTCCGATGGAGACGGATAATCAGGATCCTCTTGGACCTATTATCCAACAAACTGAGGAGGACCTGAAAAGGTTGGACATCAGGGGAAAAAAACAATATTTCTCTGGTGCATCCAAGCGGCGTATCGCAGCTTATATCAGGGATGGCATGTCCACAGAGGAAGCTCGCAGCAATGTTGACGAAAAGGTCCCTGGGAACATTCCTCAACAAAACCCGAAAATGACTTCTTATCGGGATGCAGTAGCACAGGTCAAGGTGGCCATCACTCATAGACTGCATCCAGAGGAAAGGCTATCCGAAGTTCAGATGGGGAAAATCAAAGTAGCCATCATGGATGAAATGGATAAAGTTGTGGACTCTCATCCACAATTCACTGCAGCGTTGCAAAGGGATGGATGGATACCCGTAACATGCAACAATCAAAACACCAGGGAGTGGATAACCAGTGTCCGCAGGAAGATAAGCCTT